AACTCAGGACTTCTAGAAGAGCAGCCAGTGTTCTCAACCTCTGAGCCATCTCTCCAAACACCTAAAACATTAGTTTAGGCATGACCTTGGGGGCACATTAGGGATCTTTTTAATGGTTCAAGTAGCTCAGTTTACTAGGTTTATTACATTGCCCTCAGCAGCAGAGTATTTTTTGTGAGACCAGGATTTGGTGGCAGCTGTGATAAAAGGCAATTAAACATGAAAATTGATAGGAAAGGTCTGAGAAGTTGGCAGTATCCAACAGTTTCTAGTGAGTTACTAGTGTAAGTAACTGGTTTGGTGAACCAGGGTGAAATAGAACATTTTCTTTTGTAGGCAGACAATGTTCAAGTGGTTTAGTTGTTAGGACATAAATACTTAAGTTACTTGGATCTATCTATTTAATAAAATAAATGGCTAGGCATGGTTCAGCACTCTGGAAAGTGAAGGCAGGAGGCTAAGGAGCTCATGACATGTTGAGTTCAAGGCCAGCCTGGGCTACATAAGATTATCAAAAACTCAAAAGGTAAATACCAAAACAAAAAAGTAAATAAATAATTGGAACTGTTTTGATCCATGCCATCTGTGAAATTTTTTTATTTACACATTTTAAATTTCATTCATATTATTGTGAGTGTTTATGATGTGCCAGAGATAAGAGATACAGATAGAGACAGAGGATAAGAATGAATGCAGACATGCACGTGCCACAGCATGTCTGTGGAAAGCAAAGGACAAATTCTGGGAGTCTGTCTTACGGATGATAGAAGTCAGGTTGTCAGGCCTACATGACAAACAATTTTATATACTGGGACACCCTGCCAGGCCCCCAAATTGAAACACTACGAGTTGTGAAAATTCAGGATATCCTGCCTGCTCTGACTTCTAACTGGGGGTTTCTCTTTTGGACACGAATCTCCAAGCACACGCCATCTGTCCTCCTACTTGTCATTTTTATTTATTGGTCTTTAGAACAAGCAGAAGAGCAAGCCGTGTGGCTCACACCTGTAACGACAGTACTGAGAAGACAGACAGGACAATCACTGCCACCCTCGGTCATTCTAGGCTACAATACAAGAAACAACTATATGTTGGGCTGGTGGTGTCACACACCTTTAATCCCAGGACTTGGGAGGTAGAAGCAGGCCTATCACTGAGTTCGGGGCCAGCCTGGTCTATAAAATGAGTTCCAGGATGATCAGGGCTACACAGAAAATCCCTGTTTTGAAAACCCAAAAGGAAAACAGACAAAAAAAATAGGGATAAAATCAGTTTCTCAAATTTTAAGACATATCTTTAGAAGCTAATTAGAGTCATTAGGCCTAGACATATAGAGCTGTTTTCTGAAGCTGCTACTTCCTGGCTTTGGTCATGCCATTTCCCTAACTCTTTGCTGTCTTAGTTCCTCACCTTTAATATAGGTATAGAAATCACTCTTGTAAGAATTAGCAAGTGTAACCTATTGGGACAGTGTGTATGGCATGTAGTAAGGACACATATTAGTTATCATCTCCACGAGAGGTCTGTGTTCAGGAAACACAACTCTACTCATTACCTCTCTTCTACATCTTCACTGATGCGGTTCTGTAAACGCCGAAGTCGGGGGTCACTGGACGAATCCTCTTCCTGTTCCTCAGGCTCTGCCTCTTGTTCCTTAGCTTTCTTAATGAATTGAAATTCTTCATCCTCTTCATCTGAGGACTCCATAGGGGCATAATCTGGCCTCTTTCCGGACACATAACGTTTTACCTTTACTTTTTCCATTGAAATCTCACCTGGGCAAGAGAGATAATTTATGTTTCAGTAACCTCTTTCCCAATTCCCTTCAACTCTTGGCCTACGCAGACAGAGCCTTGAGTTCCTGATGGACCAGAGTCTAAAGAGGATATGGCAGTCATTATCCAACTACACATTCATCATCAGTGTTTTCCTATAGGGACTATGGTAGGAGAAGACATTTTATGAATACCAACACCAAGACATCAAGAGGTACCTTGGGGACAACGAAGTAGAAGACTGTGAGCAGTGAAACTGTAGACCCCCTCCCCCTCACCACAAGTTCATGTTTTGTTATCATGATTTGAATGGAAATGTTCCCCAGGGGTAAGTTGAGGTTTCAAAGTCATGCACCATTCCTACTGCAGTGCCTGTGTACTCATCTCTCGCTCTCGCTGCTTCATGCTTACAGTTCAAGACAGGAGCCCTCAGCTCCCTGCTTCTGCTGCCATGCCTTGCTCTGCCTCCATGGACTCTAATTCTCTAAAATTAGAAACCCAAATAAACTCTTCTTTATAAACTGCCTTGATCATGGTATTTTATTACAGCAATAGAAAAGTAGCAAATGCACCCTTATTAAACAAATTCTTAGTAACAGTGCCCAGAATATTAGCAAGAATAATTTAAGTGGAAACATAAAACACTTTAGGAGCAGGAGTGGGGTGGGGGAGTGGGGGAGAAAGGGTTTCTCTATGTAGCCCTGACTGTCCTGGAACTCACTCTGTAGACCAGGCTGGCTTTGAACTCAGAGATTTGCCTGCGTCTGCCCACAGAGTGCTGGGATTAAAGGCCTGTGCCACCACTGCCCAGCTCACTCACACATTTTTTTCTTTTAAAGATTTTCTTTTTTTGAGATTTCTTTGTGTGTATATGAGTTGTGTACGCACATGTATGCAGATGGGCTAGAAGTTGATTCAGGTGCCTTGATCATTTTCTACCTTATTTTTAAATCAAAATTTAAAAGATTTATTTATGTATATGACAGTTTAGGCAGCATGTATGAATGCACACCACAAACATGCTTGGTGCTTGAGAAAGTCAGAAGAGGGCTTCAGATTTCCTGGAATAATAGCTATGGACAACTGAGGCTCACAGTCCTCTCTAGAAGCAACTGAGCCATCTCTCCAGTCCAGATACTTTTTTTTTTTTTCAGAGATGGGGTTTCCCTATGTAGACCTGGCTGATGTGGAACTGGGTAAGTTAGACCAGGCTAGCCTCAATCTTAGAGATCTGTCTGCCTCCGCCTACTGAGTGCTGTGCTTAGAGGCGTTTATTGATTTCTTTGAGACAGTCTCTCACTGAATTGGCCACCAAGCCTCAAATATTCCCCCCTCTCTTCTCTTCTTCCTACAAGGGGTATATCTATTTTGCGTGGATGTTCGGGGTCTGAACTCAGGCACTGTAAAAAGCTATCTCCCTAGCTCCTCCCCCTGAGAGGCTATGTATATCCTTAACAACACAATTTAATACTCTAGGCTGGTGGTGGTACACACCTTTAATCCCAGCACTTGGAAGACAGAGGCAGGCACATCTCTGTGAGTTTAAGGCCAGCCTGGTCTACAAGAGCTAGTTCCAGGACAGCTACATTTGTAGCCCTGGCTGTCCTCGAATTCACAGAGACCCACCTATCTCTGCCTCCCAAGTGCTGGGATTAAGGCATGTGCCACCACCTCCCAGCAATTAAAAAAAAAAAATTCTAATCTTGCCAATTTCTACCTTCTTTTCCTCTAGCTCTTATGCTGAACCAGATGATCTCTTCTAAAGCACAAACAAGCTGGAGCTGAAGAGATGGTTCAGCACCTAAGAATACCTGCTGTTGATACTCCAGTTCCAGAGGATCCCACGCTCTCTTCTGGTCTCCCTGGGTACTGACCCCACATAATGGCATACTTACACACAAGAAAAACATTCATACACATAAAAATAAACAAACAATTTCAGTGACTAGAAAAGAGAATAAAACCAAATCAAATTATTTCAAAACATGAGGGAGCCCTTATAATCAAACTGGGCAAATCAAAGGTAGCTTTAGATATAACACACACACACAAAGACCTCAGCTCACTTTTTTCTTATATTTTTGCTTCTGTTATTGTTTTGGTTGTGAGTCTAGTCTTTAGCGGCTGAGTCATCTCTGTAGCCCTACTTTTATTACTTTTAACGATGCCGTGTGTCGCTATGTGCGGGTGCCGGCAGAGGTCAGAGATGCTATATCTCCCTGGATTTGGGGTTACAAGTGGTTGCTGAATCGCCTGATATGGGTGCTGGCAACTGAACTCGGGTCTTCTGGAAAGGCAGTATGTGCTCTGAACGGCCGAGCCACCTCTCTAGCCTCCTTTACGTTTTATACTCTGAGAGAGGATCTCACTAAGTCGCGTGGATCCCGCGTCCCCCAATCTCTAGGCTACATGATGGGGTGCGAATCTGGGTGGGACGGAGGAAGAAACTAAGGCTAAGTCTTCAAGATCAGCAAGGCTGATACGGCCTTCCTAAGGCTGGTTTGAGGGATACTGAGGCTGAAAGGTAAGATCAGACAGGAGGGAAGGGGAGCCAGTACCTTTCTCATTGCGAACTGGGACGGCCCCAGCCGTAGACTGAATAGGCGGTTGCTTCATGAGTGCGCTTGGGACCGACATGGTGACGCCTGCGGTGGAGACTCCCAAAACTTGATAAATCCCAACAGCGAAGCCCAAGGAACACAAAACAGCTTCCCACCTAGCTCCGCCAGCTACTGCTGCGCGACTGACAGAAACAACTTCCGGCAGAGCTAGAGGAACCGGAAATTTACAAGCAGAGGATTGTGGGATTTTGGAGGACCGCTGAGCGCGGGACTGCTTAAAGGGGCTGGACTGATAATTCGCGCGTTTCCGTAAGCAACTTTCCCGCCTTCAACCTCTCAGGATTTGGAAGCTCCTTCTGGCGGGCAGTTGCTTCTTTGGTGTTTTGGTAAGGCGTAGGAAGGTTCGGATTAAAGGTTTCATTAGTTATGTTTTGAAGAAACTGAGCAGATAGTGAGGGGCTGTTTGTGCATATTGTTGCAAGCTCAAAAGGGTAAAGAGTTTGAGCCGGATAAGTGGGTCATGCCTGTAATCCTAGCATCTGAAAAGCTGACACAGGATTGCCGAGTTTTGGAGCCTGGGCATCGGAATGAGACCCTGCCACAAAAAAAAAAAAAGAAAAAAAAAAAAAAAGGACAAAAGATCCACTATCCGTCTGTTGACTGGAGCACATGCCTTTAATTCCACCTCTTGGGAGGCCGAGGCAGGCGGATTTCTGAGAGATTGAGCCTAGTTCTACAAAGTGAAAATTCTGGGAGTACTGTATTATAGAGGACCTTGAAGGTGCTACTAATATAATTATCAATTTATTTCACTTGTTTTCTACAATTGGGCCCTTGCTGGGTGAAGACAGGAAATTGGCAAACTCTAAATAAGTACTGAGGGCGAGTGTAGACAAATCTTTATTTATTTATTTTTTTTTCGAGAGACAAATCTTCATTCTTCCTTTAGTTTTGAGACTGTGTTTTGTGTTGCTCAGGCAGGTTTTTTTTGATTGTTTGTTTTTGCCTCCAAGTTTGTTTTTGTGTGTTTTTCACCCTTGATTCCTGAGTAGCTAGGCTTCTACACAGAGGTGTGTCACTTCACCGGATAGAGACATTTTATATTAAGAATTTTATTAGCTCAGAAATGTATGTTTCTGAGCTGGAGGTGCAGTTCAGCAGTAGAGCCTTTGCCAGTTGTGAGTGAGCCTTAGCATGGCGTAGGGAATGGATAATTGTTTTGGTTCATGGCAATCCAAGAGAACACGAGGAAAAAGCTTAATAAGGCCCTGACGTTATGAAAGAGTGTATGGAAATCTTATGTGGTAATGCCCATATTTTAAGACTTGGGACAGTCTTATGTATCCCTACCAGGCCTCTAACTCTCAGAGTAATGGAGAATGACTTTGAAGTTCTGGTCCTCCTTCGTTCACCTGCCTAGAGCTAAGATTACAGGTGTAGGTCGCCATGCCTGATTTTATCTGGCGCTGGGGAGAGACTTCAAGGGCTCTGTCCAGTCTAGGCTCTACAAGTTGTCACATTCCCAGTTACATTTTACCGAGTTACATTCCCAGCCTCTGTTTTGGCTTTTAAAGTCCTCTAGGACATTGCCCCCAGACAGAGTCCTTCTATGTAGCCCAGACGGACTGGGTTCCTACTTGCTATCTTCTCTGTGACAGCAGTTCCGGGTCACACTGACCACAGGTAGGTTTTCTTTAGTTCAAAACAGGTGGGCAGATAGTCGTGTGCAATTTAAACCAGCGTCATCAGCTATTAGAAACAACCAAATGCTTACTTTTGGGTTTTTTACTCCCCTGTCTTATTTTGAGACAGGGGTTCATGTAGCTCATGCCTCCCTTAAACTGCCTATAAAGCTGATGATGACTTTGAATTCCTGATCCATCTGCCTCCACATCCCACATTTGGGATGACAGGCACGGGGCAACATCCTTCGCTGCTCCCCTTGAAGTACAGTAGCCCTCGGGTGTGCTTTTCCAGTAGTGGTGTTGGAGGGGCAGAGGTGGGCGGGGTCCAGGCTGAATGTTGACCTTGAGTGTGGTGCGCACTGCTCACCGGTTGAAGGAAAGGGTGCCTTTGTGTGCACGCCTGCACGTGGAGGCCAGTGGCCATGCTTGGATGACCTTCCTTAGGAGCTGTCCACCTTTAAAACAATTCTTATTTTTGTTATTATTTGTGTGTTGGTGCACAGAAGATCAGGACCGCAACAAGAAATCGTACTTATGTGGGCTCTGGGAATCAAAATAAAACCACTAGCTTGCGTGGCAAGTATCCTTACCTGTTGAGTCATTTCTCTGGCCCCAGTTGTTTTTGAGAGTGTTTTTTGGACCTGGGGCTCTGTTTAGGTTAGTCTGGTTAGCCATGGAGCCTTAAAACCCCTCTTGTCTCGCCTTGCGATTGTAACCCCAGCTTTTTAGTTTGTGTGCTGGGGATCAAACTCAGGTCCTAATGCAAGCACTTTACCGACTGTCATTTTTCCCAGGCTGTTGAGTTTTATGTTCATTTGTTTTCCAATCATTTGGCATTTGAGGGTGTGGATCTTTTTCAGGGTCATGCTGCAGAGCAGCGGGATGGTGTTTTTCTAAGCTAATGAGTCAGTATTTTTCAAAGTAAGATCTCGGGAACTGCTAGCCTCAATATTACAGAACCCAATTAAGTGTTGATTGGGATTCTGGTCCCAATTCAGGAAGCTGAGGATTAGGAGGCCACGGAGGTGGCTCTCTAGGTTAGAGTGTTTGTCACACCCCAGCAGCACCCACGGAAAGCTCATTTAGGGCGTGGAGACAGGTGAATCCTTACAGTTTATTGTTAGCCAGCCCAACCTAAAGGTGATTCTGCTGGCTTAGTAGTAGATAAGACTTTATCTAAATGGGTAGAGCTGTTAGTGATTGAAGAGACAAAACAAAAAATGCGCCTAAAGTCATTATGGCTTAGGGAATCCTGCCCTCTCTTCCTCCCAGAGCCTCGTCCCTCGAGGCCCCTCCCAATCCCACAAAGATTCTAGTGGGTAGAGCCCAGCTTCTCAGGGGAAGAAAGATGTCTGGGTTCAACGTTGAGGAAAAGGTGGCCTCCAAGCAGTGTTCCGAGGTGCAGGTGAGACCTGATACAGCCTGGGAGGGGTCTGCTAGACACTGGAACCTGGCACCAAGGAAAAGCCATAATTCCTGCCTTTTTTTTTTTTCTTAAATGAGAAAATTAGGTCGTTAAGTGTTGAGGAAAGTTTCCTACCAACTTCATTAATTACGGTTGGTTGGCCTTTAACCCACCCCATAACTCGGGAGGCAGAGGCAAGGTAGAACTCTGAGTTTGAGGTCAGCCCGGTCTACATAGTGAGTTCTAGGTCAGCCAGAGCTTGGTGGTGAGACTCCCTCACTCCCGCCAGCAAAAACAGCTCCAAAATTGCAGGATGTGTCTTGGGTTCCTTTCCCCTGGCTCCCCAGCCTTAGCTTTGCAGCAGTTACTGTCAGCTTTAAGCAATTACCGCTAACTTGAATCTGACCTTTGGCATAATTACCTCAGTTACAGACTTAAGGTTAAGAAATGTGCCTTCAGTAATTCCATTCAGGTTAGAGTGTTAAGTATCCAGATTTTGGAGAGGGGAAAAAGTTTCCTAAAGTACCATCAGTTTGAATCATGTTGTTACAATGAAGAAGGAATTAGACTTAGGAGGATTTGTTTAGTGTCTTGTAAGGAAGAACATAGGATCCGGATTTCTAACGCTCTTTTCCTTATTTCCCCAATAGGTGAATGAATATGAAGAAAATGGGAATAGTGATTACACTTCTTTGAGACCAGTACACACTACAACTTTAGGGAAAACAGCTAAGGTTTATCTTTCTCCATTTTCGCTCAGCAACACCAAGCTAGCACTATTTAAGTTGTCCAGATCCCCGTTTGAAAATAATTCTAACAATGCAGTGTCTCGTAAGAAGACGGACCGGAAGAAAACTTGTAGAGAGGTTTTAACTTCAGAGATGAAGGCTGTATCTTCCAAGGCAGAATCCCTTCTGCTGAAACCACCCTCGGGTGCCCATACTGAAAGTACCAAGCTGGAACCCAAGAGCACGGCAGAGCCAGTGGCTCTCAGTGTGAACATGGCGAGCAGCGACGAAGATAGTTCCCCGGGCCTGGTAAGAGTGTTTAGTTCTAATAATCTCACTTTGATGGGAAGGTCTGGAAGGTGAGGTGGGGAAGGATCTCTAGCAAAATCTGTTTTATTAGCTAATGTAAATTTAAAAACATGTTTTGTGTATGCACGTGTTTGTGTGTGTGTCTGCATGCGAGTGTGCATGCATGTGCCCTGACATGAGAGTGGAGGTTATAGGAGTCAAAAGAAGGTTCTCAGGCATGATGGCAGGTACCTTTACCTGACGAACTATCTTATAAGCCTTTTAATTTAGGGTAAATTTCATTGAGTTTTATTTAAACTTTTTTATTATCATTATTATTTCTTTTTTCAAGGCAGGATTTCTCTGTGTAGCCTTGCCTGACCTAGAACTAGCTCTGTAGACCAGGCTGCCTCAAACTTAAAATGGGTCTGTCATCCTCTGCCTCCCGAGGGCTGGGATTAAAGACAGGCCACCAGTGCCCAGTTTAAATCTTAGTCTTTGAGACAGGATCTTGTTTCATAGCCCAGGTTAGCCTCCAATTTACAAGCAAAATCTCTTTGCTTTTGCCTTGTAAAAGTGCTGGCTTAACAGGTATGTACCACCATGTTTGATTGGAAATTAAATATAATTAATTAATTCTTGCGATAGGGTTTTCCTATGTAGCAAAGTCTGGCCTGGAACTTAGTGTATTGATCACACTGGTCTCTTCCTCCCATGGGCTGGGTTTAAGGTATCCTAAGTGTTGTGCCACCTTGCTTGGTTGTTTCTATAGTTTCTTTTTTATTTTCTGAGACGGGGTTTCTCTGTGTCCTGGTTGTTTTGGAACTTAGTCTGTTGATCTGAGTGTCCTTGAATTCCTGCCAGCACCTCTCGGGTGTGTGTGTGTGTGTGTGTGTGTGTGTGTGTGTGTGTGTGTGTGAAGGGATTAAGGGCGAGGGCCATCCCTGCCCAGCTGCCAGAGTTTCTTACTGGGAACTGTTTTCTTGGTCTGGGACTGTACTTTGAGAACTGCTGTTATATTTTTAAACTCAGACTACTGGACTTTAAATTGAAGCTGATTTTTGCTTGAATATAAGGAATAGAAACGACAGCGGTAAAGACGTTTAAGCAGTGCTATGCTTGACTAAGATACATTTTTCTTCTTTGTTTAGAGACAAACTAAGATACAGCATTTATTTACCTTTTTGCGGTGCTGGGAGTTGAACTCAGGCCTCACATGTGCTAGGGAAGGAAGTGCTGCACTCGTGAGATAGACTTCCAGCCCCCTTTCTGCCTTTTATTTTGAAGTGGGGTCTTGCTAAGTTGCCCAGGTTGGCTATGGGAATTTTGGTCCTTTTGTCTGACCTCACCATGCCTGGATAACATGATGATCACACGGTTCTCTCGTTTCTTCTCTTTTCATCATCACTGTTATTTTTTATTACGGTGCTGGGGATTGAGCACAGGGCTTCTGCATGCTACACAAGTACTGCCTTTGAGCATCCTGTCCTTGGGGTAGGGTGACAAGGCTTTCCCACGCTTTAGGAGCAGTGTTTGGCTTCTTTTGCATATATTATCTGTAAGAGCAAGTATAGAATTTTATTTTCTGAGAAAATTTATGAATTTTATCTCCCAACCTCTGTACTTTCTACTATTTTTTTTTTGTTTTGTTTTTGTTGTTGTTTTTAATTGGCCACCTCTTCTCTCTTGTCATTCTAACAGGGTTTCGTTTAGTAGCTGAGGCTGACCTGGAACTCACAATGTAGCCTAGGCTATTCTCAAACTTTTGGTGATTGTTTTGCCTCAGTCTCTCAGTCTCTCAGTGCTGCAGGTCTGAGCCTCCATGCATATTGCTTCATAAAGACTTTCTTGGGCCTGGGGACAAATAGCTCAGTGGTAGAATGCTTGCCTAGCAAAAGAGGCTTCAGGCTCAACTTGTGTCACCACAAACCAGCAAACAAAGGAATTGCTAAATTTAGTGTGATGGTACATACCTTCATCCCAGCACTTTCAAGACAGAAGCAGAAGACTGATACAAATTCACTACCAGCCTGGTCTGCAAAGTAAGTTCTAGACCAACCAGTGCTATAAATGCTATTGAAAAATAAAAAAGATCAACCTCAAAACAGTTTCTCTTGTGGCTGGTGAGATTGTTCATGGGGTGAGGGTGTTTGCTGCTAAGGCTGATGATAGGAGCTTAAACTCCAGAGCTTTCATGGTGGGAAAAAACAGACTCCTGGAAGTTATACTTTGAAATCTCCCTATGTATGCCCACACACATACAAGTAAATACATGCACACATAAAGAAATAACTGTGATAGATAAATGTAATAAAAAGAATTTCTTGAGCTGGAGAGGTGGCTCACAGGTTAAGAGCACTGGGTGCTCTTCCAGAAGTCCTGAGTTCTAGTCCCAGCAAACTGCAAGGTGGCTCACAGCCATCTGTAAGGGGGTCTGATGCCTTCTTTCTGGCGTGCAGGCACACATGCAGGCAGAACACTTAAAAAAAAAAAGAAAAAGGATTTCTTAGCTGCTGATTACTTGTTTATTTTAGAGCTGGAGTCTCATATATTCCAGGTTCAGACCCATTTTGGAGACACAGTGATCTTTAATTACTGAGACAGCCTACTTGGATCCTCTGCTTTCCCTGAGGCTGAGAGTGCAGTTGTCTGGTGTGCTTGTGGGATTGACCCCAGGGCTCATGTTAGGAAAGCCCTCTCCCCTCTCCAATAGAACTGCATTCTTAGCTCTTTTTTTTTAAAATTTATTTATTTATTTATTTATTTATTTTTGGAGACAGGTTTTCTCTGTCACCCTGGTTGTCCTGAAACTCGACTTTGTAGACCAGGTCAGGCTGGCCTTGAACTCAAGAGATTCACCTGCCTGTCTCCCAAGTGTTGGGTTTAAAGGTGTGTACCACCATACCCAGTATTTTTTTTTTTTACTTTTTTTTTATTTCCCTGCCCCCATTTTCCCAGTATTTTTTTTTTAATCGAAATATTTTTGAGCCTGGCAGTGGGGGATTCATGCTTTTAATCCCAGCACTCGGGAGGCAGAGGCAGGCGTGAAGCTAGTATGGTCTACAGAGCAAGTGCCAGGACAGGCTCCAAAACTACACAGAGAAACCCTGCCTCGAAAAACCAAATAAATAAACAAACAAATAAATAATAAAATAAAAATACTTATTTTGTGTGTATGTGTGCTGGTTATGAGATCTTCTGAAAGATAAGTTATTATTTTAGTTTTGAGACAGGGTTTGTCTATGTAGTGACTCTCTGGCTATTCTGGAACTCGCTCTGTAGACCAAGCTGGCCTCAAACTTACAGAGGTCCACCTACCTCTGCCTCTCAAGTGCTGGAATTAAAGGTGTGTGCCACCACTGTCTAGTTATTAGTATTTTTTAATAAAGATAACTTTTTTCAAGTAATTTATTTCGGGTGGTGGTGGCACACGCTTTTAATCCCAGCATTCGGAAGGCAGAGGCAGGCGGATCTCTGTGAGTTTGAGGCCAGCCTGGTCTACAAGAGCTGGTTCCAGGACAGGCTCCAAAGCTACAGAGAAATCCTTTCTCGGAAAAACAAAAACAAACAAACAAGAATCTGCCCTGTTTATTTGGGCTGGAGAGGTGGCTCAGAGGTTAAGAGAACTGACTGCTGTTCCAGAGGTCCTGAGTTCAGTTCCCAGCAACCACATGATGACTTATACCCATCTATAATGAGATCTAGTGCCCAGAACACTATATACATAATAAATAAATTTAAAAAAAAAGAAATTCAAGGTCATCCTTGGCTACAAAGTGAGTTTGATGCCAGATTTCATTGTGTGAAATCTTGTCTTTAAAATTATTGGATAGTCGATTACTTAAAATAATTTATTTATCTTTATTTATATGCATTGGTATGATGGTGTCCATCCTCCTGGATTTGGAGTTACAGGCAGTTGTGAGCTGCCATGTAGGTTCTGGGAATTGAACCCAGGTTCTCTTAAAGAGAGCCATTGCTCATAACCGCTGTGCCATCCCTCCAGCCCTAAGGATAACTTTGGGCTGCTAGGAAATAGTTTGCTATAAGGGCATGGTATTTGGCTGCTGATATTAGATCACACCATTTATTTATTTGTTTGTTTGTTTGTTTATTTTGAGGCAGGATTTTTTTTCTTTTTTTAAATTTTATTTTCTCAAAATTTCCATTTCCTCCCCTCCTCCCACTCCCCTCCCTCCCCCTCTAGTCCTAAGAGAGGGCAGGGTATCCTGCTCAGTGGGAAGGCCAAGCCCCCCCCCCCCCCATCCAGGTTTAGGAAGATATGCATCCAAATAGAATAGGATCCCAAAAGGCCAGCAGTAGAGACAAATCCCAATGCCATTATCACTGGTTTCTCAGTCGAGGCAGGATTTTTCTACACAGCCCCTCGCTGTCCTGGAACTCGTTATGTAGGCCAAGCTGGCCTCAAACTCAGAGATCTGTCTGCTTCAATTCTCAAGTGCCGGGGTCAAAGATGTACACCACCACGATCTTACCTAACTATAGATTCAGATTCCCTTAATATTCAGTCCAGCAGAGATTATGGGCTGTTAGTTAAGATAACGTGAAATAGAAGTTTGTACAGTTTGAAGGGGAATTCATGGGTAGAGAATGAAGAATCTGGTTTTGTGTGTTGTTTTGTTATTAATGTGTGAAGTAACAGACTTTTTGGGGGTGTATTTTCTAGGATGATTTTTCAGGATTGTCACCTTATGAGAGGAAGAGATTGAAGAACATCAGAGAAAATGCGAAATTTTTTGCTTCCCTTCAGTTATCTGAGGTATGTATGGTGTTTGTAATGGAAACCAAGATAAGATAATTAGATGATAATTTTTCATAATATCAAATGAGGGAAGGCAAAATTCAAGCAATGCTTAGTCAGTTGGTTGTAGGCACTGTCCTCCTCCTGTTTTGAGACAGTTTCCCCGAAACTTACTCTGTAGAAGAGGCTGGCCTTGGATTGACAGTGACATGTCTGCCTCTGCCTTCTGAGTGCCGAGATTAAAGGCGAACATCACTACATCCAGCTTGTTTTTCTTTTTTCTCTCTTCCATTTGTTTGTTTGTTTGAAAACAGAGTGTCTATGTAGCTCTGGCTGTGCTGCAAGTCACTCTGTAGATCAGCCTGTCTTCAAACTCCAGGCTGGCCTTGGATTCAGACATCTGCCTGCCTCTACCTCCTAAGTGCTAGAATTAAAGGCCTGCACCACCACCTCCCCGCTGCTGCTTTTTTGTGTGTCCTGTTAGACACTTGTGAGCCTGCTGGTGGGTGCTGCATGCCGTACTCCCCAAGCTTGAGACTGGACAACAGTCTGTCTGCCTTTTTCTTCCTTTCTTTGTTCTTTTCTTTTTCTTTATTTTATTTTATTGATGTTTTGCATGTATGTCTGTTTGAGCATGTCAGATCCCCTGGAACTGAAGTTACAGACAGTTGACAGTTGTGAGCTGCCATATGGGTGCTGGGAATTGAACCTAGGTCCTCTAAAAGAGCAGCCATGCTCTTACCTGCTGAGCCATCTCTCTAACCCCTGGACAATAGTATTTTAAGGTCATACATAGTAATCCTGGCTACATGAAACTATTTCATGATAGCAAGAACAGCAAAAGAAGCTTGTAAAAGCACTTAAAAAAATACATTAACCAAGAGGTTCCCAGTTGGATTTAGTTTTTTTCAAAGATTTATTTATTTATTTGTTTATTCTATGTATGAGTGCCCTGTCTGCATGTATGACTTTATGCCAGAAGAGGGCACCAGATCCCATTATAGATGGCTGTGAGCCTCCATGTGGAATTGAACTTGGGTCCTCTGAAGAGCAACCAGTGCTCTTAACTGCTGAGCCATCTCTCCAGGCTCTTAATATTTAGTTTTTTAAAAGGAAAAAGTGTAGGATAAATCTGAAGAATCATGTTGATTTTCGTGTCTTTTTCTTTTTCTCTGGCTGTGCTGGATCAGGCCCAGGAGCCTGTACCTACTAGGCAAGGTCTACCTGTGAGTAAGTCCCCACGCAGTCTGGTCCATGTTTCTTTTTTTTGTTTTGCTTTTTGTTTTTTTTTTTTTCTTCTTCGAGACAGGGTTTCTCTGTAGCTTTGGAGCCTGTCCTGGAACTAGCTCTTGTAGACCAGGTCTCAAACTCACAGAGATCCACCTGCCTCTGCCTCCCAAGTGCTTGGATTAATCTTAATAGCTATTACCATATTTAATTGACTCTAGGCATCTTTTCTCTTTTCGGTATGTAGATGTTTGGATACCAAAGATCAATCTTAGTTATTGTCCACTCTTTTTGGTATGTAGATGTTTCAGACCAAAGATCAATCTTAGGTATTGTCCTTAGGAGCCATCTACCTTGTTTTTGTTTTTGAGACAGGATCTTTGACTGGAACCTGGGGCTTGCCAGTTAGACTAGCTAGCTGTCAGTGAGCCCCGGGGATTAGCCTGCCTCCACCTCTCTAGGGCCTCCATTGTTATGGTTTTTTTTTTCTTTTTTTTTTGAAGCAAAGTCTCACTTTGTAGATCAGGGTTAACCTTGACTAAATAGTAGGTTCAGAGCTAGCCTGAACCACAGGAAAAAAGAAAGAAAACAATTTACATAGTCTGCTTATGATTTAATTAATGAAAACTATAATTTGAGGGTCTGGAGAGATGACCGTAAAGAGCAATAGCTGCTCTTCCAGCAGCTCTGAGGCTCAATTCCTAGCACTCCCGTGGCAGCTCTCAAAAGTTTGTAATTCTCTACTCTTAGGGCATCTGGTACCTTCTGGCCTCTGCAGGCACCTGGCATACACATGGCATATACATACCTACTGGCAAAATACTCATACATGTGAAATAAAAATAAACGTTAAAGTCGGGCGGTGGTGAATCTCTGAGATTGAGCCCAGTGTGGTCCACAGAGCAAATTCTAGGATGGCCAGGGCTACAGAGAATCCTATCTGGAAAAGTAACAAAAAAATCTTTTGAAAAAGATAATTTTATTTATGAGTAAAACCTGTAACTTCTGGAAAGTGTCCAAATAGGTTTCCAGTACTAAGATTTAATTCCAGTACTAAAGATTTAATTCTATAATTTGCATATGTATGCATAGAAGTATATCTTTTGTGTGTGTTTACCTGTGAACATGTTTTATCTTTTTTTGTTTTTGAGAAGGTCTCACTATGTAACTCTGCTGGCTTGGAATTTACTGTGTAGATCCGGCTGGCCTCAAATCCACTTGCCTCTTCCTCCGAAGTGCTGGAATTAGAGGTATGTGCCACTACGCTCAGCCATGTCTTATTATTTTTTAATTTTCTTAACTTTTAATTTTGAGAAAGAGGTAGAGAAAGGCAGAGTGCATGGGTGTGCCTGCATGCTGTGGCGCGTGTGTAGAGGTCAAAGGACAACTTCGGGAGTCAGTTCTGTCCTCCTATGTGGGTCCTGGTGACTGAACTCAGGTCATCAGGCCTGGCAACAAGTGTTTTTATGGCCATCTTACTGTCTCATTGTTTTTTGAGACAGTCTTGCTGTGTAGCCAGGCTGGCCTTGAACTTACTAAATGTGCCGTTCTTCAGGCTCCTGAATGTTGGGATTATAGATAGGTATGAGCCACCTCATTTTGCTTATTTTTTTTAAATTTGTTTTTGCAGTGCTGTGATTAAAAAACAAGTCTGTGCATTCTAGGCAAGTGCTGTGCTACTTAGCCATCCTGCCAGCCCTGTAATAGTATGTTCAGTTAAATACTGTGTTTAATCGTGTGAATTTATAAGCAGCTTGGCTCAAGGTACCAGAATACCAGTATATTAGATAGTGTTATATACTTCTTACTTTTTTTTTTTTTGGTTTTTTGAGACAGGGTTTCTCTGTAACTTTGGATCCTGTCCTGGAACTCACTCTTGTAGACCAGGCTGGCCTCAAACTCACAGAGATTCACCTGCCTCTGCCTCCTGAGTGCTGGGATTAAAGGCGTGTGCCACCACCGCCCAGCCATATACTTACTTGCTTTCATTATTGATGGTGTATTTATCTCATGTCTATTACCAAGAATAAGTACTAAATCTTAAAAATATATTTCCTGAATAAACTGGATATAGTAGCAAATGCTTACTGTTTTAATGGGTAAACAGTGTAGTTACATGGTAGCATGTTTATGTGAAGGTGTATTTTGTGTGCTTTTCAGTCAGCTGCAAGGCTCCGTGGAATGATAAAGAAGAGACAGCAACCTGAATCAAAGAGGTAAAAGATGTGCTTAATGGTGGCTAGACTACGATATTTTGCTGAGGATTGTAAATTTGAGACATTGACTTGAGCCAGGTGGTGGTGGTTCACGCCCTTAGTCTCACCTCATCACATTAAGGTTTTGGTTTAGATAATTTTGAGGCTTTATTAGAATCATTGTGGCCAAGAGATAAATCAGTGGTTAAGAGCACTTGGCACTCTTGCAGAGTGCTCAGGTTTGGTTCCCTGCAACTACATTTGGGAGGCTCACCACTACCTGTAACTCGAGTTCCAGGGCATCCAGTGCCCTTTCCTGACCTGTGAGCACTATATGCATGTGGTGACAAAGAGGGGCACACACACACACATCAACCAAAAAGTCAGCACAGCTATGTCTATTTCCCTATACAGTGTGTGAATATATCTATAGAACTTGTTCCTAGATGTTTATTCCTTTAAATTACTAAACCCAGGACCTGAGAAATGGTTAAGTGGTCAAGAGCACACACAGGCTGCTCCTCTAGGGGGCCTGGACTTGGTCCCAGCACCCACCACACTGACTCCCTAGCACCTGTGTCTCCAATTCCAGGTGATTGGATGCCCTCTGGCACTAGGCATACACATACATAGACATAAAAATCAATTTAAGAAGTCTTTAACAAGTTATCAAATACATTTTACTATTCGGTGAGAAATACACGAGCATTTCCTTTACTCCTTTAGGAAGAAGCCTAAGAAGGAAGAAAATGAGACTGGATGTCGAAGGTCCATGCGACTGCTGAAAGTAGACCCTTTGGGAGTTCCATTGCCAGTAGCTCCAACACAGTCAGCGTTAGAAGAAGAAAAAGAAAATGTAAGAAAAAGTACAAGTACAGTATGTTTAGCTTAATCAAATATTGATAATTTTAAAGTATTTGTAACTAGAGTGATGGTTTTTTTTGTTTTGTTTCAATTTTATTAATTTAATACTTAGATATTGTATGCTTAGAGATTTCAGAGTTGTTAATACTGGGTAGTCTGTACTTCTGCAGGAAATTGTGGAATTCTTGGTAAATTATTTCTCTTTGTGAGCTTCAGTTTCCACATTTAAAAAAATGGTGTTACCCCAGTGTTGGAGAAGCTACGGCAGGAGATTGTCACAAGCTTGAGCTGGGTTGCATGGTTTGAGGCTACCTGAACTAGAGAGTAAGAGTATGTCTAGAATAAAAAGAAGGGGAAATATCAAAAGAATGTTGTAAGGATGAAATGAAATAGAATCCATAGTTCTTATATTAAGGGTTTAGTAAGTAATTAATAAGTGATAGCAATTAGTACTGTGTAATATGTGATCAAACTGCTAAGAGTTGGGCTGGGAAGCTGGTTCAGTGCGTGAAATGCTTGCTGTACGAACAGTATGGCACCATGCATTTAATTCCATAGTGAGACGCGCAGCTGAGACTGAAGAACTCCAGAAACTGGTGGGCAGCTGACCTGGCAGCAAACAATAGAGACCCTGTTTGTTTGTTTTTTTTAAATTGATATTTATTGAGCTCTACATTTTTCTCTGTTCCCCTCCCTGCCTCTCCTCTCCCCCCTTCAATCCTCTCCCAAGGTCCCCATGCTCCCAATTTACTCAGGAGATCTTGTCTTTTTCTTCTTTCTACTTCCCATGTAGATTATATCTATGTAGGTCTCTCTTAGTGTCCACATTGTTGTCTAAGTTCTCTGGGATTGTGGTTTGTAGACTGGCCTTCTTTGCTTTATGTTTAAAAACCACCTATGAATGAGTACATGTGATAATTGTCTTTCTGTGTCTGGGTTACCTCACTCAAAATAATGTTTTCTAGCTCCCTCCATTTTCCTGCAAAATTCAAGCCGTCGTTATTTTTCTCTGCTGTGTAGTACTCCATTGTGTAAATGCACCACATTTTTCTAATCTATTCTTCGATCGAGGGACATTTAGGTTGTTTCCAGGTTCTGGCTGTGACAAACAAAGCTGCTACATGTGCTACATGGTTGAGCACATGTCCTTGTGGCACGATTGAGCATCCTTTGGATATATACCCAAAAGTGGTATTACTGAGTCTTAAGGAAGGTTGTTTCCTAATTTTCTGAGAAATCGCCACACTGACATCCAAAGGGGTTGTACCAGCTTGCATTCCCACCAGCGAGACCCTGTTTTAAAACAAGATAGGAAGGTGAGGGCCACCAACACCAGAGGCTGCTCTGACTTAGACATGTATGTCCACATTCACATAGACACACTACGCATACACAAAATGAAAATGAAGAGATTACTTGATAGAATTTTTAAATAGGTACTCATGTAGCCTAGGCTGACCTTGAACCTACTAAGTATTTCAGGGTGACCTTGAATTTCTGATCCTGCTAATACCGTCTCATTTCCAGGATGAGAGGTATAATCCAGAGTAACTGCTTTGTGTCATGCATGCTAGGCAAGCATTCTACCAAGTGGCATACATTTTAGCTCTGGCATAGGCTGTCCTGAAACTCAGTGGTCCCCTGCTTCAGCCTCCTGAGTGTGTTGTTTGAACAGCCAGCCATTTTTAAATGCCTATGATGTGCCACTGTTGTTGATGTTGAAAGGAAATTAGTGAAAATGAGGCCAGAACCTTGGCCCTTCCTCAGTTTATATTGTAGGACAAACAGCCTTTTGCCTTTTCTTTTTGATAGCCTTTGTTACCTCCTGGGCCCTTAGAAATGATTCCTGAAAACCAGGATGACAGCAATGGACTGTTGTTGAAAGCGTCTTTGAGGACATGGGCAGAGATGAGCAAGGTATCAGTTGGGAAGGCTTTCAGCTTTTGGAATCATCTCCTGAGGAAATTTCCGTGCTTATATATGAACTTAGTCTTTGATGTTTTCCAATGTTGCAGACAAGTAATGAGAGGACCGAGGAGGGGCTATCTAGCATTAAAAGGTAAGTTGAAATTCCTTGCCTTTGCTTTACTTTTGACCTTTGTTTCATACGCTTTGAGATGCTTGCAGTATAAAACTATAATGTAGGGACTGGAGAGATGACTCAGTGGTTAAAAGCACTGGCTGCTCTTCCAGAGGTCCTGAGTTCAACTCCCAGCAAGCACATGGTGGCTAACAGCATCTGTAGTGGGATCAGAAGATTCCCTCTTGTGGTGAGCATAAAGACAGAGCACTCATATACACAAAAGATATGAATACATGTTGTATAGGACTTTTAAAAAAGCTATTATAGGAAACCTTGAAAGTAGTGAAAAGAAAATTATCCCTACTATTTCTACACTAATAGTTTGCCTGTTTCCTTCTTTCATAGTGTTAAGGATTAAACTAAAACTTTGAGTGTGCTAAACAAGTGCTCTACCACTGGACTAGCCTTATTTTTTTAATACATATATATTATTTATTTACTTTTTGGGGGAGGGTGTTTTGAGACAGGTTTCTCTGTAACTTTGGAATCTGTCCTGGAACTTGCTCTATAGACCAGGTTGACCTCAAACTCACAGAGATCCACCTACCTTTGCCTCCTGACTGCTGGGATTAAAGGTGTGTGCCACTATCACCTGGTTTATTTACTGCATATTATGGCTGGTCTTGAACTCACAGAGATCTGCTTGCCTCTGCCTTGAGAGTGTTAGGATTAAAGAGGTGCATCACTGTACCCTGCCTTTCCTCCACTCTTACACAATTCGGGCTTCTCTGTCCTTGGAACTAACTCTTATAGACCAGGCTGGCCTCAAACTCACAGATTCGCCTGCCTCTGCCTCCTGAGTGCTGGGAATAAAGGCATGCGCCACCACTGCCTGGCTTGGGTGAATCTTCTTATCTCAGTTAAATAATCAATATAATTCTTCATAGATATGCCCCCGGGCCAATTGGATCTTAGATAGTCTTTCTTCACAAGTGATTCCAACTTCTGTCAAGCTGAACATTAAAATTAAAGCCTGCATATGGTTAGGCCTTGACTTTGTAATCCTCATTTTTTTTTAAGGTTTATTTTATTATGTATATGGTGTTCTGTCTGCATGTTTGCGTTCTGTCTGCATGTTTGCTTGCGTACCAGAAGAGGGCACCAGATCTCATTACAGATGGCTGTGAGCCACCATGTGGTTGCTGGGAGTTGAACTCAGGACCTCTGGAAGAGCAGTCAATGCTCTTAACTAACCTCTGAGCCATCTCTCCAGCCCTGTATCCTCATTTTTAAGTTGCTAAGATTACAGGCCTTCAGTAGTAGGACTGACTACGACACAGTGGAGACTTTATCTCAATCCTAACATAACATTGCTTGGCATATAGTATATATTCAGACTCGAATAAATGAATTCACATTTCACTTGTGTTCATTCATATATATATATATATATATTCACATACAGTTTACACTGTGCCTTTTTCTTGGATATTTGCACATTTACTAGAGCATACTTCTACCCATTTTGTATTTGGAGTTTCTGTTAAGTGTGTGTATATGTGTATGTGTGTTTGTGTGAATAAGTGCATTCATTATAGCAGACTCTTTTCTTAGGTTTCCAGGCATGGGGCTAATGAATCAAACATTGAGGACATCCTTATGGTTTTTATTATATACTATTGAATCGTTTCTTTTACATCTTCTAAAAGTGCGTGTGTGTGCACAGAGAGCACACCGTTCTGTGGCTGCCTCTGCTAAGCCGTATCTCAGCCCAGTCATGTTCCGTTTTAACTGCAGCCTCCTAAGTTTTGATGCCATCATTAAAATTATCAAAATTAATTTTATAATCGGAAAATAACAACCTTGATTTATTTGGTTTCTTCTGTCATCAGGAAGTAGATATTTACTAGAATTTACTAGTTGTGCTTTTTTTTTGAGTTATTTTTTACTTATTGGTACTATTAAAATTGTTTTAAACTTACCCTTTTTTGTAGCTACAAAGCCAATTTAAGTGGTATGGTCATCAGTGAAGCTACTGTTCGTAAAGTGACCAAAGGTGCCATCACCTCTGTGGCCCTCCATCCATCAGAAGTAAGAACCTTGGTGGCAGCTGGGGCCAAGTCTGGGCAAATCGGACTCTGGGATTTGGTGAGTTGATGCTGCCTTTGGGAGATTATCTAAGGTCTGCCTGAAGGAAACGTCTTACAGAGAATAGCCTGGAACATTTATTTATAAATGTTGCTTGAGATTTGTGGTTTTGCACTTTATGATTCCAAGTTTTAGAAATCTGACAGAATTTAAATTTGTTTTTATAGAACTTTAACATTTTTAGCTTGAGTATCTTTAGTCATCTGGACAAATTATCTGGCAGGAGACATTTAAATGTTTATGTGAAGAAATTGCATGGGAAAAGTCTGTTTAAATTATGTTCAGAATAGGGTTTGCTGTGATTTGAGTTTTAGGTCTTCCTCCATGTTTATGTTGAATTATTTTTTTGAGGTTTTGTTGTTATTTTGAGGCAGTTATGTAGACCAGGCAGGTATGTAGACCAGGCAGGTCTTGAACTCTCAGAGCTCTGCTTGTCTGCTTCTCAAGTAGCAGGATTAAAGGGGTGACACCAAGTCCAGCTAAAAGGTTTTTTTTTTTTTAACATTTATGTTATTTATTTTTGTTTTTAATTTAGAATTTACGTGTATGGGTGGTTTTATTTATTTTTTGCATATGTGCATGTGTTAGTGCCTGATGTGCAGAGAAGCCAGAGGGTATCAGATCCCCTGGGAACTGGAGTTGCCGACCGTGAGCTGACACGGGGTGCTGGGAATTGACCTGAGTCTCTGGAAGAGCTCTTAACCACGGAGTCATCTCCTGTTTTTATTTTTTAAATTGTACTTGTATTCCTGTGTGTGCATTAGGGTGTTCGTGCTTGTTTGGAGGTCAGAGGTTTATACCACTCTGGGGATTGAATGGGGATTGAATCCAGGGCTTTGTACATGCTAAGCGGACACTCTCCAGCTGAGCCGCATCCTCAGCACCTTTCATTTATTTATGCATATAATTTTGTTGTTTATTCAGCTGGTAGAGCTATTTGCCCAGCATGTAGGAAGCTCTGCGTTTGTTCCCTAGCTCTTAGGGAAAAGAATATTTCAGAATGGAAAAGCTTGACAAAAGAATTGATGATCATGGGACTGGATAATGAGGACCCAGGTTCTATTCCCAGCACCCACATGGCAGCTCACAACCGTCTGTAACTCCAGTTCCAGGGAATCCAGTGCCGCCTTCTGGTCTCTTCATGTACTCATCTACCAGATACTCATGTATACATAAAATTAAAATAAAAAAAAGTTGGTCTTGTTTTTTTTTTTTTTTGTTTTTTGTTTTTTTTTTTTTTTTTTTTTTTTTTTTGTTTTTTTTTTACAGGGTTTCTCTGTAGCTTTGGGGCCTGTCCTGGAACTAGCTCTGTAGACCAGGCTGGTCTTGAACTCACAGAGATCCCCCTGCCTCTGCCTCCCTAGTGCTGGGGTTAGAGGCGGCGTGTGCCACCACCGCCATCTTTTTTCCTTTTTTAAAGGCAGGGTTTCTATTTTGGCATGTCCTAGAACTTGGCTATGTTGCTTAGACTGTCCTGAAACTCACAGAGATCCCCCTGCCTCTGCCTCCCCAGTGCTAGGATTAAGGCCATGTGTTCCACTATGCCTGGCTCTAAAGTAAATCTTCAAATAAAAAAAAAAATTGATGAGCAGGGCCAGGCATGGTGGCTCACACCTTTAATTCCACTTGGGAGGTAGGAATAGGTTGATCTGTTTGTTCAAATCCAGACTGGTCTACTTACTGAGTTCCAGTCCAGCAAGGGTCTATAGTGAGACCCTGTCTCAAAAAAAACCCCAAAACAAAACAACAACAAAAGAATTGCTGATCAGAACTGAAGTGTCTTTTTTATAGTTTTATGTATATGGATGTACTGCCTACATGTATGTCTTAGTGACATTATCATTATATGAGTATGGGTGTTTTGCTTGCATGTATGTCTTAGTGAGATTATCATTTTTTGAGTATGGGTGTTGTGCTTGCGTGTATGTCTTAGTGACAAGCACCTTTACCTGCTAAGCCATCTCACTGTCTCATACTTTGTAATTTTACATTTTTTTTAAAATAATTTTTCCCCTTTTCCCTCCCTCCAGCCTCCCCCCCAATTTATTCCTCTGTTTAATTGTTGTTACATAATTGCATATATCTTCCTAAATATATATAATTCATTCAGTTCTTATAATGTTACTTTTTTGTATATGATTTCAGAGATGACTATTTGGTATTGAATAACCCATACTTTTGTCTTGAATATTTTTTTTTAGTTTTATTTTTAAGTATATGGGTATTTTGCCTGTCTGTCCGTTCATCAGGTACATGTCTGATGTCTTCCAAAGTCAAAAGACAGCAACAGGTTCCCTGGCGTGGTTGTGTGGTGTCATGTGTTGTTGGGAATCAAACTCGGGATCTCTGTAAGAGCAGCAAACAATTTTAACTGCTGAGCCAACTCTCTAGCTGTTTTGCTTTATTTTATTTTATTTTGAGGTGGGGTCTTGATATGTTTCTTGGACTTGCCTTAAACCCACCCCCTATGCTGTTTTCAGCTCAAGTGATCCTATTGTCTCAGCCTTCTAAGTAGCTGTGAGCAGAGGTGCACGCCCTCTCAACTGGCAGGAGCCGGGTTTTTGTTCCCTTGTTAAGAAGAAACTAGTTTGATAATGTGAAATTAATGTGGTGGGGTATTGTTAAAGTGAATGTCAGGAAACAAAGAATTCCAGTATAAAGTTGTTGATTCTCGGCCTGTGAAATGCTCAGAGGGTAAAGATGCTTGCCCGGTGACCCGAGTTCGACCTCAGAATTCCTGGTGAAAGGAGAGAACTGACTCCGGCAAAGGGTTCTCTGACCTCCACATGTGTGTCAGGGCCTCTATATGGTCATGCTGTACACACATACACGTTTTTAAAAGGCTGCTGGTTTTGATTGTCTGGGAGAGTGAGCATGGTTAGACTAAGCAAAGACTCAATATAATTCCTATGTAAATGCTTTAGTGATATGAAGACATTATAACATCCAATGCCACATCCATTACTGCTCCTCACTGGTTTTGTCTTTCCCCTCACCTCCAACTTTCTTCCAGACGCGGCAGCATGAAGATGAGATGTATGTTTTTTATCCCCACAGTCAGCCCGTTAGCTGTCTTTACTTCTCACCCACCAATCCAGCCCACCTGCTCTCCCTGAGCTATGATGGTACATTGCGATGTGGGGACTTTTCCACTGCTATTTTTGAAGAGGTAAATGTTAATGTGTTTACTAGCTGACATCAGATAATATTCTGGATTATTTATTAGTTGTGTGGTGTTTTACTCTTGACTTTTTTGGGGGGCCTGCCACCCAGCTCCCAAATAAATCACACGTGGAGGTTTATTCTTAGTTTTGAATGCCTGGCCTTAGTGTGGCTTGTTTTTTGCCAACTTTTTTAATATAATTATCCTGATTACCTTTTACCTCTGGGCTTTTATTTTTCTCTATTTCTATATACCTTTCTTTGCTTCTTTCTCCTTGGCTTGCTGGATGGCTGACCCCTGGTGTACCGTTCTCCTTGTTCTCTTGTTTGTTCCTCGTTCTTCTCGTTTTCCCTTTTATTTATCCCCTCTACCTGCTAACTGCACCATTTATCCTCTCTACCCGCTAACTGCACCTATCTTTGCTCCTGCTCGCTATTGGCCATTCATCTTTCTATTAGGAATACCAGGTGCTTTAGATAGGCAAAGAATCACAGCTTCACAGAGTTAAACAAATGCAGCATAAACAAAAGTCACACACCTGAAAATAATATTCCCCAACACTTGATTTCTGTATCAACCATATTGAGAGAAGTTTGTGGTACAACTTAGGGACTAAGTTTAAAAAAGAATTTTAAACCATTTATTCTAATAACTACCATAGCACAGAATGGCAGTTGCTTCTGGTTCATTTCACTGAATTCCTAAATTATCTTTTACTAGGAAAGCCTTTCTCTTTGTTGTTGTTTTTTCCTCTTTTAATTAAAGAATGAAGATTTTATTTTGGTTTTTCGAGACAGGATTTCTCTGTAGTTTTGGTGCCTGTCCTGGAACTAGCTCTTGTAGACCAGGCTGGCCTCCAACTCACAGAGATCCTCCTGCCTCTGCCTCCTGAGTGCTAGTTTTAAAGGTGTACACCACCACTGCCCGGCTCGATTTTGTTTTTTGAGATGGAGCCTTGTCATGTAACCCAGGTTGGCCAGGATCTGTGATTTTCCTGTCGCAGTCTTCCAGTGGCTAGGATGACAGACTTGTGCTTCTAGGCCCAGTTTGGCATCGCAGATGATTGTAGCAAACAACTTACCTTTTTGTAAAATCAGAGTTAAAACAAAAATTAAATTTTCATTTTTTGGTGTTTGCAATTCTGACTGTCCTGGAACTCACTGTGTAGACCAAGCTGGTCAAATTCACAGAGATCCCCCTGCTTCTGCCTCCCAAGTGAGGTGAGAGCTGCCATACCCAGCTTTGAAAATTAAGCATTTTGATCTGCACTAGGGATGCAGCCCAGATGTTAGAGTGCCTGCCTAGCAGGCACAAGGCCTTGGGTTCAGTCCTCAGCACCACACAAACTGATGTAGTGGCACAATGCTTGTAATCTTAGCACCTGGGAGGATGCTATTCTTCTGTCAACATTAGTTATAATTGAATATCCAGTCATATATCTTAGAGTTCATTTGGACTCAAAACTACTTCTGTTTTTTTTTTTTTTTTAAAGATTTATTTATTATTTATACAGTGTTCTGTCTGCATGTATGCCTGCAGGCCAGAAGAGGGCACCAGATCTCAATACAGATGGCTGTGAGCCACCATGTGAGTTCTTGGAATTGAACTCAGGACCTCTGCAAGAGCAGCCAGTGATCTTAACCGCTGAGCCATTTCTCCAGCCCCAAAACTACTTCTGTTAAGATATAATTTTAGGCTGGACAGTGGTAGTGCACTCCTTTAACCCCAGCACTCAGGAGGCAGAGGCAGAAGGATCTCTTTGAGTTCAAGGCCAGTCTGGTCTACAAGAGCCCCAGGGCTGTTACACAAAGAGACCCTGCCTCGTAAAAAACAAAACAAAACAAGTAAAGGAGTTATAAAAATGTCATTTACCCTGCTATCATCCACACAGGAAATACAGAGCAAAATGAAAACACAGAGGTTTGCCTAAATCAAATGGTCAGTTAACCCACATCAGAGCTACATCTGAAACTCTCAATTCCAAATCTACTCTGTGAAACTTATCAGAAAAATAACTGGCTCTGAATCAAAGTGCTAGAATTAAAGGCATGTGCCACCACCGCCCAGCCCCTTCACTAGGAATGTAAGCATTGGTTTTCTCTAAAAGAATGGTTTTGTGGAACCCCAGCACTTGGGAAGAGAATGCAGGAGAATCATTAGTTCAGGGCAGCTACATGGAAAGGTGTGAGGACAACTTTGGGGAGTCAGCTGTTGCCGTCCCACTTTTGCCATGGAGTCTCTGTTTGTGCTGCTACGCCTGTACTCAGCTTGTACTCAAAGATGCCTGCCGAGCCTCTACTCTACCTCCTGCTGTGGTGGGGGTACTGGAAGTACAGATGTGTAGCACCACACCCATCTTTTTGGGGGTTCCAGGGATTGCACTCAGATTGTCAGCTTGTGTTTCCGCATTTGATCTCATGAGCCACCTCCCTGCCTTTGGGGTTTTAACTGGATTATTGCTTCTCCCCTAGGTGTACAGAAACGAGGGAAGCAGCCCCTCTTCCTTCGACTTCTTGGCAGAAGACGCTTCCACTCTGCTAGTGGGGCACTGGGATGGACGTTTGTCACTGGTAGATAGACGGACACCTGGAACTTCCTATGAGAAACTCTTTAATTCATCTTTGGGAAAAATTAGAACCGTTCATGTCCACCCAGTATCCAGGCAGTATTTTATCGCAGCAGGATTGAGGTAGTTTTCTTCTTTTGGGTTTATTATTCATTCATTTATTTATTTTTTGGGTGGGGTCCCTCTTGCTGTCTCCGGCTGGTTGGGAATTGTGCTTCTCCTCTTACCTTTTCAAGGGCTGGGGTTGTAGGTGTTTGTCACTGAGCCAGGTTTGGACAATGTTAGGACTTATCCTAGTGATGTTAGCGGTACATGACTTAATTTAGTTTCTCAGGCATTTGATCTTCTTTCTTTTTCTTTTTTTTAAATCTCGAGACAGGGTCTCACTCTAGACCAGGCTGGCCTGGAACTCAGAGATCCATCTGCCCCTGCCTTCTAAGTGCTGGAATTAAAAGTGTGTGCCACCGTACTTGACACACATTTGACTTGTGTGCTATATAGAAGCTAAGTAATTTTCCTCTGCACACTGATGGAAATGTTATAATTTTTAATAGGAATTCTTTTGGTTTAATAGGGAAACTGTTCAAGAAAGCACCCGTGTCTGCATGTATTTGCTTCTATTTTTATGAGAAGAAAACTTATAATTGTAATAAACAGAAAATTTGTGTGTGTGTGACCTATAATTTGGCTCATGTTCTTTAGTGTCTTGGAGATTTTTTTTTTTTTTTTTTTTTTTTTTGTGAACACAGGGACTTCCGATGGTAGGGTAGCTCTGACTGTCCTAGAACTCACTTTGTAGACCAGACTGGCCTTAAACTCAAGAGATCTGCCTCCTGAGTGCTGGGATTAAAGGCATGTGCTGCCGCTGCTCAGCGCTTGGAGATATTGGAAACCTGGTAGAAACTAGTGTGCCTGAGGCAACACGGGTCTTCTGTGTCTTGGAATTTTTTTTAATGTTTTATTTATTTTCCTATGCTAGTCACTGTGTAAAGTTAGATACGAGAAGGTTTTGTGTTAAATGTTCCTAATGTAGTACGGGTCTGTGTAACTTAGGCTTAGTCCTAGTCCGTGGGCTCACTGCGTGGGCTGTAGTGATAATTTCTCTTCCCATCCCAGGGACGTTCATATTTATGATGCAAGGTGCCTGAAGTCCAGGAGAAGCCAGCCTTTGCTCTCTTTGGCTGAGCACACGAAGAGCATCGCCTCTGCCTACTTTTCACCCGTCACTGGCAACAGAGTGGTGACCACCTGTGCCGACTGTAAGCTAAGGTACTCTAAGAAGACAGAACCGTGTTTTTTGGGGAATCTAGAGACTGCTGCTATGGTGTTCATAACTAGAAGTTGTGTTTACTGCTGTTGCTATGGAATCACTAGTATAACTGTTATTATAGTTCCTCTCTTCCCCTCTTTCCATTTCTATTCCCTTTCTCCCACCCCATCCTTCTTTGTTCCTCTCCCAGGTCTCCCTGTATTCCAGGCTGACCTTGAACTTGCCCTCTTTCTGCTTTGGCCTCTGGAGTACTGGGATTATAGGTGTGTTTCACCACGTCAGTTAGGAGAAGCTCTGCTCCTGGGGAAAGTGGGATCCACTTTAAAAGTGTGTTAAATGGAAATTGCTCAGCCCCAGACTTTGGGCAAAAAATTATGCTTCTGCCCAAGCTAATTGGAGTGGTTTTAGGGTTTTGCCTTTGGTACCGTTCTATAGCTACTTTAAAACTGGTTTAAATCAGTTGAACTAAGAAACAGAAAAAATGTCATGTTGAAGAAACATGAAAGGGCTTTTGTAGTCCTAGTTTCTTGGCAAGTGGAGGCAGACAGATCCTTGAGCACAGATGGGCAACACAGTGAGACCCCCCCCCATTTGTTGAGAATGATGTGAAGACAGTTAATGCAACTACAGGAAAAGTGATCCTGTTCTCTTTGAGAATACTTAATTCTGTTTCAAATTTGCAAGCTCTTTAAGAGTTGGAATTCATCTTTCAGCAAGTATCTCTTGAATGTGTCCCATGGGCCAGGCTCAAGAACGGCAAACACGTGATCTGCAGGTGTTAGTGTCTAGCAACGTTTATGAGCGTTTCCAGGAGATGATGTACAGTTATCATGGCAACGCACCTCCACCTTTTACCCACACAGCTCTCTTTGTCTATCCATTTTCCTTCATTCACACTCTAAAGTTTATGCTTACCACATTCACCTCTAGTAATTAAGCTTTCTAATAGTCAGACTAGGCAAGCCGCTCCAGTGCCAAGAGATTGCCCTGGATCAGCTGGGCACAGAAGGGGAGGAGTAACTGAGACTGGCTTCATTCTGAGTCCCTCTACTTTTGTACTGGCCAATCAGTCTCTTCAGCTGTTCGAAAATGACAATGACGTATCAGGCCATCAGGCCACCAACTAATGAGTCAGAGGCTGTTTGCTTTTTGTTTGTATGTTTTTTTGCTTCTAAAACAAATTATTTGCTGGGCAGTGGTGATACACTTCTTTAATCCCAGCACTTGGTAGGCAGAGGCAGGCGGATCTCTGTGAGTTTGAGGCCAGTCTGATCTACAGAAATGAGTTCCAGGATAGCTAGGACTGTTATACAGAGGAACCCTGTCTCAAAAAAAAAAGGTTCGTCTGTGAGTGTGTTAGGTCCCTAAGAACTGAATTTACAGGCCGTTGTGAGCTTCCATGTGGGTGCTGGAAATCGAACCTAGGTCCTCTGGAAGAGCAGTCAGTGGTCTTAACCACTGAGTCATCTCTCCAACCCTGGAAGTTTGGTTTTTATACATGCATGCACTCTCAGAGTATTTGTGAGGTTTTATTCCACAGCTCTGGTGTGTGTGAATCTGAATACAGTTTTAGATGCCAGGTTGTCACTTTAGAATGTACATGCCAAGTTGGTGTGGTGGTGCCTACCTGTAATCCAGCCCCCAGGAGGTCAAATAGGAAGGTCGACAGTTCTAGGCACACATAGTGAGATACTGCCGCAAAGAAAGTTTATTTACTTATTTTGGTGTTTCAATACAGGGTTTCTCGTAGCTTTGGAGCCTGCCCTGGAACTTGCTCTGTAGACCCGGCTGGCCTCAAACTCTGCCTGCCTCTGCCTCACAAGTGCTGGGATTAAAGGCATGTGCCACCACTGCGTGGTAAAAATTTATTTTTTTAGAGTAATAGTGTTTAAGTATGTCCAAATTAAGCTTATTGTATGGATTGAATGTTATAGTATAGTTCATGCACTTATTGTTAAAGACAGCATCTGAGGTTATAATCTGATCCCACATAAAGTAACTGTTATATTTCCCACTGTGAACCAACAGGTATCTTAAATACATAGTTACTATTTCAGTAAGACTGGAGAATGTAAGTAACATGCCATTGTAACTGTTTATTTGCAGAGTCTTTGACAGCAGCTCTATGTCATCCCAGATTCCTCTCCTCACCACCATCAGGTAGGCCTCCTATCTGTGTACCCAAGCAGCAGAAGAGCGCATGCTAGGCATGTGACTCAAGGAGAGACTGTCTTTCTGGTTTTGCACTATGTTGTGTAAGCATCCTTGCCTTTCAGTCCTGTCCAGAAGAGCTCTTGCTTCTGGGTCTCGGTGACTCAGCTCTTAGCTGGCATGTGCTCTCAACTTTACTCAGTACTTTAGACTCTGCCTACTTGGTGGGGCTCCTGTTTGGGCTTAGGTGGCTTCCGCACGTGTCTCCCTCATGCTTCTGATGGCCCTCTTCTTGAACCCTTTACTTTGGATGTGTCAGCTTAATGTCTAACTATTCCCTGTGCCAGGCCTTCTCTCTAGAGGTTGTTCTTTATCATGTTTGAAGCTGGGAATGTGCTAGACTTTGTTAGCGTTAGTTTTCAGAGGCTCTATTTAAGCATATTTTGTTTCCTTTTTTATAGGTCTTGCCCATTTAATTTTATTTTTCAGATAACTATTTTTCAGTTTATCAGGTTTTTTTTGTTTGTTTGGGTTTTTTTTCTTTCTTTTTTTGAAGCAGGGTTTCACTATGCAGCCCTAGCTGTTCTAGAACTCCCTGTGGAGACCAGACTGATCTCAAACTCACAGACAGCCTCTGTCTCTGCCTCTTGAGCGCTAGGATTAAAGGTGTGTAACACTGTTGCCAAACTTTACTTAATTTATTAAGAAATAAAAATGTCTTTGAAATGTGTGTACATTATAGAATGGCTAAACTGAGCTGGTTAACATGCATTACCTCACATTCCTTTTCTTCCTTCCCTCAGATGAGAACATTTAAAATCTCTTTTACTGACTTAAGTGAATGATGGTTGGAGGGTAAAAGTGCTTGCCGAGCAAGCATGATGACTGTAGAGTTCCATTTCTGAACCTATGGTGGATGTCGGGCAGCTCACAACTGTCTCTAACTGAAGCTGGCCTTTGCAGTCAAGCAGAAACATGGGATACTCATACACTGACATATACACACAAGAAAAATAAGATAAATCTTAAAAAGGTTTAAAAAAAGAAAACTCAGGCACTCCCCAAAACATCCCTAACTATATTTCTAGAATGGATCTTAGGTCATTTTCTGTTACAAAGGGAGTTCAAGGTCAACCTGGTTTTAAAAATAGAAAAAAGTAACGTTATCTTTTATTAAAAAAAATTTAAGACTTACATATATGAATCTTTTGCCTGTGTGTATGCATCTGTGCTGTGTGTGTGTGCCTGGTGCCCGCTGAGGTCAGAAGAGAGGCATTAGGAGTTATGGATGGTTCTGAGCTATCATACGGGTGCTAGGAAGCAAACCAGTAAGTGCTTTTGACCACTGAACCATCTCTCCAGCCCCAGAAGAGGTATCATTTCCATAGGCCCAGGGTCACCACTCTCTGAGCAAAAGCTGAGGCTAGGAGGTGAGCAGATAATTTAACATTTCAAAGTCAGTGCTGTTTTTTTTTTTCCCTACTAGGCACAACACTATCACCGGGAGATGGCTAACAAGGTTCCAAGCTGTGTGGGACCCTAAACGAGAAGACTGCTTCATAGTTGGCAGTATGGCCCACCCACGGCAGGTGGAAGTCTTCCACGAGACGGGAAAGAGTGTGTATTCCTTTTTGGGAGAATGTCTCGTATCTGTGTGCTCCCTCAATGTTATGCATCCTACCCGATATGTTCTGGCTGGAGGTAATTCCAGTGGGAAGTTACATGTTTTTATGCATCAAGAAAGCTTCTGAGCTATTGGGTAGGTTCAACAATTTGATCAGCTTGCTGCGTGGCGAAGGAATCAAGTGATTCTCTCAGCTTAGTGCTTCTGTTTGGTAATGTGTTGTATTTAGCCACTGTAACATTGCTTCTCAGTGAGACTCTGCAGAATGCAGTGTCAGCAGGAGAGGAACCTGAAGGTCATCTCTAGAGGAGGCAGGACCCTGGCGCAGAAGCTGGGATGCTTTCAGCACTTTGAGACAGGATCTTGTATAGCCCAGGCTGGCCTCAGACTCTGGAGCCTCTTGCCTCTGCCTCCTGAGTGCTAAGATTCCAGGCATGCACCACTGCACTCAACATCTTTAGCACTTTTAATTAGGCTGTATTCTGAGAAATTCTGTCAAATTATACAGCTTTGAGTGGTCAGTATTAATTTTTTTTCTAATATGATGAGACCATTTTGATGCAATAGCAATCTGTAGATCTGATTTATTTTATAGTTTGGGGTGGATACTTAATCTCTCACACTGGAATAGGTCCTAAAGATCTTTCGATCATCTAAATCTAATTATGAAACATTACTGGACCCCAGGGGCTGTCACATGCTAGGCAAGTGTCCACTACTGACTCATACCCCACCCTTGAAACTTAGTTGTTCTGCTTTGTTGTTGTTTTTGAGACTGGGTTTTGCTCTGTAGCCCAGGTTAGCCTGCCTTGATCTTAGATCCCCCTGCCAAGTGCTAGGACTATCAGTGTGTACTACCATGCCCAGTCATAACTTAGCTTTGTAAGCTAAGAACCTGTTTGGGTTCCTTGTGTCTCAGTTCAGTGTTAAATGAGATCCCACAATAATCACTGGGAACCATGGTTTCTGTGACTGGGGCCTGCGTCTGCCAGCTTTGTTTGCCTTCTTCCCCTGGGCAGCGCCTCCAGAATTGAGCTGGGACTGCGCAGTGTTTGAACTAGTGTATAACTGTACAGCTAACTGGCGACTTTTCACATGAAATTCATAACCCCAGCACTTGAGATGAGGCAGGAGAATTGGGAGTTCAAGGCCAACCTGGCTCACCTTCCTTTGCCCCCAAATTAATAAAGTACACAATGCAAAATTAGGATATTTTTATTTTTAATTAGAATATTTTAAAATAGAACTTAGTTTCATGTTGTATATGTTTATGTATATTATGCTAAATCAGTGGTCTGGTGTCACAGTGTGACATGTATTCAGCCTTTTCTATTGTTACTTGCCAAAGTTACTACTGAAAGAATTATAAACAGCTTAGACAATATGTTTGGATTGTAAGAGGAAATACTCTTTTATGCTACAGAAATAAAGTATGAACTTTCCTTTAAGAGTAACTTCTTTGAACAATCTTCTTTAAAATCTAGATGCTAGAGATGGCTCAACAGTTAAGAACACTGGTTACTCTCCCAGATGACCCAGGTTTGGTCCCCAGCATCCACACGTTGGTAACAACCATGTGTAACTCAAGTTCTAGGGGACCCAGTACCTTCATCTGGCTTCTGTGGGTACCGTATACACATAGTATATAGACATACACACAAGCCAAACACTTACCTAAGATAATAATAAAGGTTAAAAAAAAATCTTAAGAGAGTCAAATGTGGTGGTGCATGGCTTTAATTCCATCACTCGAGAGGCAAAGACAGGTAGATCTCTGAGTTCAAGGGCCATTTGGTCTACCTAGTGAGTTCCAGTCCAGCCAGTGAGACCCCATCTAAAAAAGCAAAACTAAACTAAAACTAAGGTTGGAGACTTCGTTTATCATCATGGATATTCATAAGGAAATGGCAGTTTTGTCTCATAGCTAATAAAGATCTTTTTATTTTATATTTATTATATGTATGTGCCCTGCATGTGTGTGTGTTGCTCAAGGGGGTCAGAGAAGGGTGTCAGATCCCTTGGAACTAAAGTTCTAGCCAGGTGTGAATCATCACGTGGGTGCTGGGATCTGAACCAGGTCCTCTGTAAGTGCTAAGCCATCAATCTCTCCATGTATTGGTAACTTTTGATAAAGGAGACAAGTTTAAAAAAAAAGACCCATTCTTTTTTATGGTATTTAAATATTTATTTAAGTTTAAAAATAATCTTCATGGCACCAATGATTTTTATGCTAACTACATACTGCATATGTAGAAAAAAGTACATTGCTTTGAAGGAAAATGTAACTCAAGAGATTTTGGCACACGAAAGGTTAACAACTATATATTTTTAAAGGAAACTAAGAAATTCACATTTGTAGGTAGTTTACCCTCTACTGCTTACAGGTGCAGCACACCGTTCAGGAGGCGTCACCTCTGATCGACGGTGCTATGCAAGTCTGTTTGTCTACAGTGAGATCAGATCAACTAATTCTGAGAGGAAATAAGAGACATAGAACACAGCAGAACCAGACTGAAAACAGAACTTTTTAATGACGGGGAAATACTGAAAAGCGCTCGTCACCAATAACGGGGCTTTGTTGTTGAACTATTGAAAACTATTTGGGAGCCAAATCGAAGGAAGCCTTTTCTGTCCTTATTTTCTGGGATAAGCCTTGGGGAAAAAAAACAACCTGAAGGTTGACCAGATGTCGGAAATGGCAAGGACCACTGTTAGGGCTCTAGACATAAGAAACACACCAGGCAATGGCAGGCTGCCTCCCTCTCGTGGCTGTGAAGGGTCAGAGGCGAGGCTACCACTCACTGCATAGACGCTGTGTTCTACAAACTGAGGTAGGAGCACTACACTAGAAGGCAATCTGCTATGTTGCATAAAAATAGAAATCCCAGTTCACACCAGCCCTGCTTCCCAGCAGCCTTTGCATCTCTAGGGGACTTTGACCTGAGTCCGGTGCTCTGCAGCTGACAGATGGCAGTGGCTCTTTGCTTTGAAGCGATCTCTAGTCTTAACTAGGATCCCCTCAGTTTGTCTTGTCATGTGGTAAGTATGTATTAGGTTTTACCCAAATTCTTGCTGGTATGGAAATGATCAAATAGGTCTGTGTCCATTCTGAGCGGCACCGCTGTTCCGAGTGGCAGAACTTGATCCTTGCATCAGATGTGACGTCACTGCTGGTGGGTGGGGCACCCGGCAAAGCCCCCTTGGGGAAACGGTTCTGGGTCTTACACGAGACAGGAATCGAAGCTGGCCCTCTTGCTAACGTGTGGTAGTTGTATTGTGTAGGTCAGGGTCTGCAATCTTATGGCTGTGGGCCAATTTCAGCATATTGCCGAGGTTTTTTTTGGGGGGGGTGGGTGTTGTTTTGGAAGTGGGAGACTGGCAGTCCGAGCCAGGGTTTTATGAATCCCAGACTGACCTTGAACTACTATGTAACTGGTATGACCTTGAACTTCTGCTCCTCCTGTCTGCACTTGAATGCTGGGATCACAGGTATATGCCACCACACAGTATTCAGTGTTCGTGATGAAATCAGGGCATTAGGAATGCTAGGCGTGTACTCTGCCCACTGAGCTCCATCCTCAGAATTACACTTTTTTTTTTAAATGTTTTCTTGGAACAAGCCATGTTCCTTTATGCATACATTATCAGAGGTGTGCTAGGATGGCAGAGAACGGTCCACAAACCAAAACTTTATTAAAAGAGGTTTGCTGACATCTAGTAAAATTCCGTATCTACCCCGGCATCCTGCAAACCACTGGCTGAACATGGGCATGGTTTTACCACCACAGGTGAGAACATGAGGAGCTCAAATGTACTGCAGTCCAATCGGCTCTGCATTTGGGATTTGAGGCTGTTTACCTTCGTTCTGGTCTGGGTCCCAGGACTGTGCCCCTTGGCAGTCCTTTAAATAAGTCCTCGGGCCCCGGATGACTTAGCAATCTCTCCCTGAGATGGAAACAAGATCGTGTGTGTGGTTGTTTTCAAGTGCAGAGGCCTGGGGACTCCTCACCTTAGTGTGGTCCTGTGCTGCTGTGAGTGATGCCCTCCAAGTATTCCGTGGCCTTATTTCCAGGAGCAGAGGCTGACCCTGTGGGTGGCATTTCTACAGTAAGTGTTGATCTCTGCCATGGTCAAATCCTGCCTCTTGTAGGCATCACTTGATTCTGTTTAGAGTGTCTCCCGGCCCTTCCAAGGTTGCTGCTTGCGCTCGCTGTTCTCCTCAGATCTGTTTCTCTCGCATCTAAAGATCATCATCAGGTTCTATTTTCTTAATCCATAAAGTAAAAAAAAAAATACGAATAGATAAGAAAATAACATTTTGCTGTTAAAATAGAGCTTGAAATAGTCCTTTTTTTTTGGAAGAGCACACTGTACAAAACAAGTACCGCTCTCTGCCCCACAGGCGCTCAGGCGGCTTAGCACAAGTCCTGGTGACTACGCCGCAGGGCATTTCCAGCAGTGCACGCTGCTGCCACTGACTTCGTTCAACACCCAGAAGCGCTAGAAGAGTCTGGAGGTTCTTCAGGGGAAAAAAAAATCATGAAATAAAACTGAGTGATGTCCACTAGGCTCTAGTCTAAGGGGACAGACTTACCCCACCCCTGCTGCTGCTGCTGCTGTAGCGGCGGTCCCTTCAGATGCCCACTCTGCTCAGATGTGGGAAAACAAAAGGAAAAGAAAATTCAACTCAGACCATCGTAAGAAGCAACTTTCTAGTTTAATTATTCTGCACAGGTGTTTACTTTGTTAACCCTTCTGTCTGGCAAATAAACCTCAGCGATCCTGGCTGTCCACAACCCTGGCCTGCCTCGCTGGGTCTCCCGAACCCAGTGGGACCAGTGAGAAGGCTGCAGGGTACAGAGGGCGACAGCTGTCTTCAGCTAGTGTCCCGTCTACCAGGCGACACTACCGCAATAATCAGTATAGTAAAATAAATTATTTTTATTTGGATACTTTCAAAATAATACACATCTATGAAAAATTAAAGTTCGAACCCAAAAATTTTCCTGCATATTGAAGGATGAGAAACATAAGAGTTGCTGAGCCTTTTCTTGCAAGAGCCTCTGAAGAAATTGAGTTTTCCCAGTTTCTTTACAGGGCTTTAGCCTATGTCTCTTTCTTCTTCTGGGAAACAACCCTCCTAGGCTGCAGTGGGCTTTGAGTCATGAGAGGAGGACTTGGCGTGTGCCGATGGTTCCGCGATGGGTCCCATTGCTGGGACTGGGTAGCCGGGTTCCATGGTCCACCTGACTAGTTATTGGGAGGAGTCATGCCTTCTCAGGTGTCAATGAGCAGGCTCACCACTGAGCGGATTTTGCAGGCAAACCATCGCCTGAGGGGACAAAAGTATTGATAGTGGAATTGTTCAAACTCAGGGGTCTGGCGGATATCTCGGAAAAAGGCAATGTCAAGGTCAGACTCAGTGAGGATGATCAGGAGGAGGAGCAAAACAAAGAGGAGCCCCATGGTCACAAGGAGCAAACGGAGGACACTTAAAACAAACTTATTCACCTGTTCTTGCTCTGGCCCGCCGTGCCCCTGACACAGGGCCCTCAGCTCTCCTCCAAGGGCCTCCACCTCTGCTGCAGTTGGGGTGCTGGCCTCAGACTCCTTCTCCTCCTCAATGCTGCACGTGGCTCCATTGATCTGCCGGGAAAGCAGCATCAGCTCCAGGCTGTGCTCGGCTACAGGGGTGGGTAGCACGCTGTCTGCGGGGCTGTAGGCCTCATCTGCAATCACAGCTACACGCTCATTGCTGTCTGCCCGGCTGCTCCTCACGTGAGGCAGGAAGGTGTCCCCATGGGAAGAGGACCGCACTGGTGTGGAATGGGCACTGTCTCGTAGGGACTCCAGGCCTGGAGAGGTAAAAAAGCACAGGCGTAAGTTTTCTGGGTCTCAACATTGCAGTGGCATCCGTTCAGTTGGCTGGGTGCCTTTCCAATGGTTCCACGTAACAGCAGCAATAGCTGTAGACTCCATATTTAGACATCAAGAACAGGACAGAAGTAGTACCTGATGGGCATTTTAAAATATTTCAACAACTAACTCCAGGAGGTGGAGTGAGCAGTCACAGGGCCTGCTCTGAGGTCATGTAGCTGACTGTTCATGGCAAAGCCATGGGTAGAACCAAAGCCTGTGATCATTGCGTTGCTGATGGAATGCTGGTTAGGTCTGGCCTGCACCTGCCTTGGGTCTTAACCACCAAGATCCTGGTGAGCTGTCCCCTGAGCCAGCACTCTGGATTTCCCTGAGTTCTTCCTGACGCCTCTGCTGGCACAGAATGTTTTCTGTGTCACTGAGGAAAACAGAACCCTTAAAAAGCCCTGGCTGTAGCATGACCCTGGCCTCTGCCCCCACTGCATTTCTGTGCCCTCAGCACAGGCACATGACATCCTCTGAAAAGCCTGTCCCCTCTCAAGGGCATGTCTGGCAGCCAGCTCTCCCAGAGTGTGATCAGTTTTGTTGCCAGCAGCCACTTGAGTACGAACGTGTCTATCTTGGCTTGTGATTAATCCCTCAGCTGGCTGGGGAGGAGCGGTAAGACACTGTGACGTCAGAGGACAGCAGGTCAGAAGCCGTGGTGTGCTACATTGTTGGTGACTCAGTAAACGAGATAATGGGTAGGTATCCATTTCTAGTAGAACGCCTGGCCACCATAGTTGCTTGCTGAATGTTCTGTTCATGAATGTCCTGTTCTGAAGATCTCACCTGTAAGGTCATTCCGTGTCAGGCTAGTTTGAATAAGAAAATCCAGCCAGCACCCATCTCTCCACCCCCACCCTCCTCCTTCCTCTAATTCTTCCCTTAAAACGTTTTCTTGTGGGTCGATTTTTATCTTTTTTGTGCATATCAAATGTTGTATCACATTCAAAATGTCCTTATATTTAAATTATCCATAGACTTTAGCATTGATTATGGAATAACTCCCCCCCCCCCCCCCCGCCGTGCCTCTTTAGCACTTTCTTGCACGTTTGTTTCAGGTCCTCAGAGTGGCTTACTTGTTTTTCAGAGCCACCATCCCAGTTCGGCTTCAAGCTCACTGTGTGGTCAAAGTTGACCTTGACCTTCTGGTCCTCCTGCCTCCACCAACTCAGCCTTGAGCATGCTACCCAAGCATCCAGCTGAACTCTGTCCCTAACCCCTCAAAGCCTTTCTCCCCGCCCCATGTTCCCCTTTCTGGTTTCATGACCTACACCCACACCTGCGTATTTGAAGAGGAAGAGCTATAATCTCACTGGGAGAAAACGTGCATTACTTTAGCTGGGTTACCTCCCTTAATAATGTCCAGGTCTATCCGTTTTCTGCAAGTTTCCTAATTTCAGAAAATGCCTCTCCTGCTACTACAGGAGCCACCATGCACCCTGCCCTTTACCAGGCCCATTAGTCCGGGGGAGGGTGGCGGGGGCTGGAGCGGGTGCTGAGGAAGGATGGGCTAAGTGGCACAGCAAGACAGGTGTAATTACCTTGGAGGTGCTCTAGCAGATGCCTCTGTCCAGAGGGGGCTCCCAGTGGGCCTGGGGGCACAGTTAGGATCCTAGCCTGAAGCCGGGGTCCCATCTTCAAGATGCGTATGCTTAGCGGCCGAAGGCAGTGGTTAGTCAGCCGGAGCTGGACATGGACTCTGGTGTGAATCTTAATTAGACTCTTTCCCATGGTGGCCCAGGAAGGCAGTTCCTTCTTCAGGGGAAACCAGCCAGGCAGGGGAGGTATGGAGAGGAAACAGCCAGCCAGCTAGGGGCAAAGACTTCACCAGTTCCATGCCATGGCAACCCCCGCTAGCCGTGCCTTCCGCCTGGACAGAATGCTGGCTCTGGGAGCCTTGTGTTGGGCTGAGAAGCTTGGAGAGGAGAGGCCATCCTTATCAGGGGACTGGGTTCAGTCAGAAGTGCTTACGTCCATAAAAAGCAATGCTTCCCAGCCTGCAGCTTGTTCTCTGAGGCCCCTGCGCGACCCAGGCTCTCAGAGGGAAAGGGAAATAGACAACTAAAATTGCCCAGAAAACAGGTTGTGGAGTCACGCACAGGCTTTGTCTAGGCCACATGTGGAACAGTGCAGTCATGGGAACTGAGGTAGAAGTGGCTTTGGGGCTGGGCTGTATCTGTTCATTGTACCCCCTCCACCCCCAGCCACAGCTGAGCTCCACATTCTGCCCCTCCATAGTCACAGTGGGGGAAGGAAGCGAACATTCCTGAGTGTCCTCTTGGGCCCAGATCTCTTAATCTAGGCAACCTTTATAGTAGATGCTAGGATGAAACAAGCCATAGTTTCGTTTTTTGTTTTTGTTTTATGGTTTTTCGAGACAAGGTTTTGCTGTGTACCCCTGGTTGTCCTGGAACTCTCTCTGTAGACCAGGCTGGCCTCAAACTCAGAGATCTGCCTGGCTTTGCCTCCCGAGTGCTGGGTGTTTGTTTCTAAAGTGTTCCTGTTTGTGGGGATTTTGTGCTTCTTTCAAACTGCAGTGCCATATTAACGTGGTTTTGTGATTCCACCCCTTGTTTTTAGAGTTAGCAAAGCCCGAGGCCTTCTGTGACAACGTGCCCTCTAGGGAAGGCCGTCTTGGGTGGAACATGAACTGACTTCACACAGCCATTCCTTGGGGTTCTGTTTGTGCCCTTTGAAGGTCCTGGTCACATCCCTCATGGCTCCTCCCTGCCCAGTCAGCTGCGTGTGTTAGCAGCTGATCCCCATTCCACCCTTACAAAATGCCAGGGGTGGTGGGGCTTCTTTCTAAAGTGCTTCATGTAGCTCGCACTCATGATCCCAGCAACTGGGAGGCTAGGCAGGAGGACTGCTCAAAGTCTGAGGTTAGCCTGGGCTACCAAGTGAAGTTTTGTCAAACAAAAAGCATCTCGTGCGCATTAGATTCCTTGCCATTGACAGAGCAGGCAGGGAGGATGCTCCTGTTTACGAATGAAGCAACTAACTGCTGGTGGCAGCTGCCTCTCCTTGGAGTTCTGCATCAGCCTCAAGTGAACAGGTGATATTGACAAGTGATGTCCTAAAACCTCAGTACAAACCAGAGACCCCCAGACTGATGCTCATTCTTACCTGAGCAGTTTTGTTTTGAGGTGGGGTCTTGCTATGTACTTCATGCTGGCTTTGAACTCAGGGTAACCCCCCTGCCTCAGCTTCCTGAATGTTGGGATTATAAGGCATGTACTTTTGTGATCCTCTGCCTCCTGAGGTTACCACATCAAGTTCCATGCTGGGCACTGAACACTCAGTTGTATTCCCACCCTTTGTGTAGAACCTTCTACCTGCTCTTTCCCACAGGTAAGGTTTTCAAGGTCCCTGCTGGTTTGAGGGAGAATGGCCCCAAGAGTTTTGGGTATTTGAACACTTGGTCCCCAGTTGATGTTGAGCTTTAGGAGATATGGCCTTGCTGGAGGCAGTGTGTCACTGGGGGTGGGGTTCGAGATTATAAGAAGCTGCACCCCACTTCCAGGTCTCTGCTCTGCTTGTTTGAAGATGTGAGCTCTCAGCTTCCTATTCCTGCTGCTATGTCATGCCTCTTGCTGTGCCTCCCTGCCATGATACACTCTTATCCCTCTGGAACCATTAGGCAAAAATAAACTTATATATGCTGCTTTGGTCATGGTGTTTTTATCGCAGGGAACAGCAAGTGGCTCACCCAGTCCCCGAGGAAGGGTTCGGCTCATTTCCAGGAGCCCAGACTCACCTTCCATGATGGAGATGTGGACAGCTCTTCTTCGTGTCCTGGGGACACTGCTCAGCCGTGGGCCGTGGGTTATGGAGGGACAGCTGCGGCTGGGAACCATCCCTGCTCTGAGATTCAATGGAGAGAGAACCACTTGACCAGTGCACAGATAGGGGTGTCCAGACATTAACAAATGCACTTGACCTTTGGTCCCAGAGTTTCAGACATTCTGCTTCAGAGTCCCTCCCTTCCTTTCCGTGCTGTGTCAACAAGTGCCATCATCTTGGGGGGCAGAACTGTCAGGGAATAGAGCCCTGACATGTTCCTGAGACATGCGCCTGAGGCGTGTCTGAAGATGGCACTGGCAGATTCTAATGGGCTGCACAGAGGCGGACAGGTGTTGCAGACTTTCCTTGCCTGCCTCAGACCCTTTGCCTGCTGGAGTGAAACAATGTGTTTTCCTGTGTCTACAGCTGCCCTGAGCACGAGACCCTCATGAGTTCCTGATGGCAGGGGAGTGAACTCTGGTGGGTTTTTTACAGATGAAAATCCCAAGAGCTGGGGCGTGGCTATCAATTAAGGATTCCTATATTAACACAATAAAGTTGGTATTCTTGTATCAAGGATGACCCGTATCCCCGTGTCTCTGTCTGTGTGCGTATGTGTTTAAATCTCCAGCCCCTTTCCCGGCTCACATCCTGTCCCATAGTGCAAGCGCTACGGACAGGTAATAACTTCCTGTTCCTACAATTCCAGGCTGCTGGGCGAATCCTAGCCTCTTGGCTAGTCTTTGTGAGTCTGTTGGGCTTGAGGGAGGCAGGCTTCTAGAAAGGTACAATTTGTGATCCACGTGACCCGGGTTTTCTGTAATGGAGTGATTCCAGGACAGCTAAGTGTCCTTGCATGGACGCACTTTTCACGTCTGTGATCATGTTCAGGCCGGGGAGGGCTGAGCAGAACTGAGTGAGGTGCCCCTAACCGTGATGTGCTGTTGGCAGTGGCTTGTCTTTCTCTGTGGTGCTAAAGGTTGCATGCCTGTTCCTGAGTCCCGGTGGACACAGGTTCCTTCCCTCTTCTGGCCTCTGCCTCCTCTTTTGGTATCTGCTTTGGCCAGAAGTTTCACAGCGCTCAGCTTGCTAGGTCTTTGAGGTTCTGGGATCTGAGCTGGAACTGGTTCAGGAGAAGAGCCTAAGAGTCCACCTACCTATGGATTTCTGGTGGCTCCCGTTTGATCTTGGCACTTGACTCCATGACTTCCTTTGCAACCCGGCCACTGTGAAATGATAAAATAAAAATAAACAGCAAGAAAGGGACGATCAGGACGAGGCCCCAAGATCTCAGGTGCCCTAGCTTAGTCAAGAAATGACATCAGCCCTACCCATCCCCGAAGGCTTCAGTCACTGCACAAGGCTTTCTTGATGGGGCAAAGATTTCTGGCATGCCATGACCGCTCAGCTTATCTCTTCATTGCTAGAGTCTCTAAGTTCTACCTCCCCCCATGTTTTTTTTTTTTGAGTCAGGGTCTGTCTATGTAGTCCTGGCTGTCCTGGAACTTGCTCTGTAGACCAGGTTATCCTTGAACTCTCCTCCCTCTGCCTCTGTTGGCACTAAAGGAATGTGTCACCCATGCCCAGCTCCATTTGTAATTTGGAAGTATTCCTCTCGTCTCATGAATTACCAGGAAAAAGTCCCAAACCCCTCAGAAAGGGGACATACAACAACTGTCATGGTTCTTGTTTTGCTGCTGCTGTTGCAATGGCTCACTCCAGAATTATATTGCAATTGGAAGTGGCAAGTATGTGAAAGAGAGATTCCCCGAGTCGTGGAATTAAAAAACCCTAGCTCAGCTCATACTATACCCTCCCAAGATGCTCTGAGCCATTAGACATCCTAAGATATATTTTAAATTTAAATTACTGTGCTTAAGAGAGCTCTAAAGCAAAAATGTCTTTAACCTGTAAGTCCCACTTGCCCAAGGACAGACAACTTCCTGGAATGCTGGGGTTGTTCATATAACCACCCATGTATTTTCACTTCTGTAAACAAGGCTAATTGTCCCAACTGCATAGGCTGTGCTTGTGCACACACAGGCAGGAGGTATGTCAGTGGGAAGTGACATAAGGTATGTAGCCTTGTGGGTTTTGCCTTTAGAAGTCCCTGACTGATGTACTTTGATGCCATACTCTGGGAATCATGGGTGTGGAGCTGGCCAGTGTTCATCGTCCTGCCCAGTTAAAACTTGCTTTAAATGCGGCCCAAAAATTGTGGTAGTGGTCTTATTCTTCCCCAGCGGGATTAACCCCAAGAGGGAAGAAGAGACCTACAGACAGACAGCTAGGGAAGAAGAGGATAAAAGGCTCAGGAATTGGGAGGAAACCCCAGGCCCTGCTGAGAGCTCTGGTTCCCCGGTTCTTGAGGGTGAGGCACATGGAGACTGTTCTCTAGAGAAGGGTCTGGAAAGAGATCTAGAATGGCTACTTACTGTCACTATTTACCTGTATCGGAACCGGCTCCCTTTGAAGAACAGATTGCTGCTGGACACTGTGCGAACTTGGCTTGACTTCTCCAGCCTACGGCAGAGCAGAGTTCAGGGTGACACATGGACCGAGCCACGTCACAGGCCGACGGACACAGGTGGGCAGGGAGCCCCCTGCAAAGGCTACTGGAAGCTTTCTTCAGATTCAAGAAAAAGCCCTTGGTAGTCTGTGCCGGGGTGCTGCCCACTGGGAGGAATGCTTAGCCACTGAGTGGCCACACGTGGGGAGGGAGGGACACAAGCGTTTCTTCCCAGGATACAGATCAAAAAGTGCCAGGCAGCAGTTTTAGATGAGGTCTGACAGAGAGAATGGGGATGCTTAAGGAATCCCCAGGACTTTAGTGGGAGCCAGCTCCTGTATATGGGGACGGGAGGCAGGGAAGCCCGTCTTCCTGGGCTTCTCCTAAGCCCTACCAGCAGGAGTTTGTCTCTCAAATTCACTTCTCTCTAGGTTCATGTCACTGGCTAAACCTAGGCCTTGTCCTCACAGGTGAAGGGAAGATGGTGGCCCAAACCAACTAACCGATTAAACAAAAATTCTGTATTCTTGGCTTTGTCAATAGCAGGGAGGTTCAAGTCGGCTAAAGTATCTCCCGAATGTTCCCCTTGGAAGGAAGCCCACTCAGGGTGGAATACACCTGTTCAGTTCACCCTGGTACGAGTATCAAGTACACAGTGAGTGTTAGTGACTGAGAGTGCCTTCCCAGATCAGTTCTGCTGGCTGGAGTGAGCTCACTAAGGAGGAGCGCTGTCACTGAGGAGAGCAGTTCCGATTTTCCCAGAGCCCTTCAGGACAGCAGAGAGAGGATCTGGCTTGTCAGGGCAATTGGCGACAGCAAGGGTCACCATAATTGGAGTCTGTCACACTGGCACTGTCGCAATACACTCTCTTTTAACACAGGGTCCCATGTAGCCCAGGCTATCCTGCAACTCACTTTGTAGCTGAGGATAACCTTTAACTGGTCCTTATGCCTCCAGCTTGTGAGGACTGGGATAACATTTGTTGCCATGTCCTGCTTAGGCAATGCAGAGTACTGAACCCCATACCTCATACTTGCAAGGCGATCACTCCCACAAACGAACCACGTCCCCACCTCAGAACATCTATTGAGACACAGACCATCAATTTTGTTTTTAAGCAAAGACCAAGGGGTCTGGTGAACCATTTTCTGGGCATCACCTCGGCCTCTCTCTAGTCCATTTCTTTGTGCACTGATGCTTTCGTGGCCACTTTCTTAATCGGAGAGAACTGGATGCAGAAGCCTCCAGACTCCCCCAAACTCCGGCCAGTCAAGTTACCTCTGACTCAAACCTAGCTTCTCGGTAGCAAGACAACTGGCCACCATCTCCAGCTCTGGGCTACCCACCAAGAGAGGGACCCCAGGCTCCCCTGAAAGCTGAGGTCTGAGGTCAGGATGTTTGCGCAGAGTTTTTCATGGGACACTTGTCTTCTAGGCCTTCCAGGGCGCCATGGTGGCAGTGATCCAAATTAATGCACCTGCTGGACTTTTCTGGCATGTGCTCTACTGCGCACCACACCGCCAGAGTCACTCTGCTGGTTTCCTGTTTCTCCAGGTTGGCCTGCCGCTCCTCTGAAGGCCGCTTTGTGACCCCATCTCTGATAAAGACAGTCCCTATCACATGTCCAACTCACTTGTAGAAGGCTTGATTCTCAATTCCACATTTCCAGAGGTGCTTGCAGGCTTCTGGAGTTGGAGCAAAATACGTGAGAATAATTTTCTTTTCCTATAAAAATAAAAGTCCATAGAGAAACAGCTGAGGTGGGTGGGAAAGCCCGGAGTCCCGGGTGCGGTAGGGCCCTAGCTAGAAGAGTGGCTCACATCAATGGCTACCTCACCCTGGCAAGCCCAACAGAGCCCTTGGTGAGAAGCAGAACATTTTACAGGGATCCTCTGTGGGGCAGAGAACCTCATTTGATGGTTTCCTTGAGGCAGGCCTCTCTTGAGTGGATCCTCTGGGTGCCATTGCATCTCCAGGCCTTCCCACCTTTACATACCCCACCTTTGTCTTAGTCGAGGAGGCAGACAGCGTCCCTCATCTGAACTCCTTACCCTCGGCTCCAGCCAGCCGTGAGGACCTGTCACAGTGCCCTAGCCCTCCCTGGAGAGAAGGAAGCTGGCACTCACCTCTTTCTGACTTACATATAAATAGAAAGTCTTTCCTTCAAATTTCAGTTTGGTCACCTCATTCCTAGAAGCACAAAGAGAGCGCCCGTCACCTGGCTGTGGGCTGCCTGCTCACAGCTAAAGTCGCAGATGCACAGCCCCCCCGACTGGAAGAGGCTCCAGGCACAGACACAGTTTTAGCCAGAATTAAAACTGAAAACAAGACAGGAGCGCAGTGGCCTTAGAGAACAGTCATCGGGACAGTTCGACCCACAGTTTTCCAGTCAATCACACTGTAATATTGGGGTGATAGGAGGATTTCGGGCTCATCAACAGTGGCCGGAAAAGGGCAACATTTGCATGGAAAAGTGAGTGCGGGAGAGTGGGGTCATTTCCGGATTGAGTTCATAGCACGGGTGCATGATCTGATGGGACTGTTGAATGTCAGATGCCACAGGTAGCTGATGAGGCCAAAGTTGAAGGTAACAGCAAGTAATGAAAAACAATGCATCCAGGTTCTGAGGGAGCCGAGTCTTTCAGGTGACTGTGCCACTGGATGGAAAATGCAGTTTAATGCAGACAATGTCAAACAGTCTCAAGGAAGGGTGGGGCAACATACCAAGAAGAGAGAACAGATTACATGGAACAGTCATGCAGCGTACTGACCAGGAAAGGGGCTTAGGGGTTATTGTAGAAAAATCCTTGAAGCCACCAGCCCAGTGAATGGCTGCAGTAAAAGAGGCAAACAGGATACTGGGGTACGTCACCCGTGGGACAGACACAAATCAGAAGAAGTGACATCATGGTTACTGTACATGGCACAGCCTACACCTCACCTCCACAAACTGCTTTCAGCCTTGGTTCCATTTACCAGGTGGGAAAACTACCCGGAACTTATTTGGATGTCCCTGAGAGCCACAAGACCCGGCCTCCCCATCGGCCACTCCAATGTGCCCAATTCAGGGTCCAGTACCCAACTAGAGTTTTTACTTTTTTGCTTCAGGCCCCTAAGGGTGAGCACACACCCCTGCCATCAGTAGACCACTTCCTGCTGCCTCCAGGGCAGCGTCCTCAGGATCCTAGTAAGTAGCAAAATGTAGAAATAACCAGGCACCGGGTCTTTGGCTGTACAACATTGGGGCAGAAGGATATGACATGTTCTCACTGAGAAGTCATGGCTGGGTCAGAGTGGCCGTTTCCAGCTGGAACTGGTATAGCCTCTCTCTCTCTCTGTGTTGTCTCTCTCTTTTGACCAACTGACCATCAATCTTAACTCAGTTAGAATACAATAAACACACAGCCTCCAACAGGAGTGGTAAAGAAAGAGTTTGACCTTTTGTTGTTTTGAGACAGGATCTCATGTAGACAGGCTGTCCTGGAACTCTATGTAGACCTGGTTGGCCTTGACATATAGGTGATTCTCCTGCCTCTCATTCCTGAGAGCTGAGATTACAGGTGTGTGCCCTCACACCTGGCCTATGAGTTTGTTTTTTTCCTTTTGAATGTGAGGGTGGGTTTAACATCTAGGATTCTGACGTTGAGACAGGAGGAGACTTTCCGGGGAGAGAGGTACACGGGAGAATGAAAAGTGGAGAGGCAGGGACTTCGAGTGTCTAAGGATGACCTTGTTTCTAGACATGAGACAATGGCTCTGGTGGGGACAGAACCCCTTCAAGGAACACCAAATAGCCACACAAAGGACCCACTCAAGGGTAACTGTGGCCCAATCCCATCCCCAGCCTTTTCTGAGAACCATTTTGTTGGCTAGGAGACGTAAGACCCTCCCATCGTCACACAGAGTGCAGTGATGGACCTGACTTGAGGGAGCCTAGGACTCCATGATACCAGCTGCCTTGTGAACAGGACAGTGTCTGAGGAGTAGTTTCTCCTCAGGAGAAGGATGCATTAATTCTATTGCCATCCTCCACTAGAGGGCTCTGGCTCAGGAAGGTGTCTGGTGTATGTATCGGGTGAGTAGGGTGGCATGGGAAGAGAGGACTACAATGTCCTGAGAAGAAAACTCATGAGAAAAAAAAAATCTCTATTCAGACCCTACTTCGCTCTTCTAGAGAAGGTAAAGGAAGCAAGAGCAGGCTCAGGCTTCCCTAACAAAAGTCCCTCAGACCAAGGGAAGCCATTTTCTAACCTGTTTGTTAGAAGAGCTAGCCAGCTTAGACACGGCAGGCTGAGGTCCAACACAGGAATGAAATCATAGGGGGCTCTAACTGTGCTCTCTCAGAAGACCACCCTAGTTTTGGACTTTAAGATTTGTGTGCTTAATATGCAGCGCCCATACAAATTAGGAATCCAGAAAGGGCCCATGACAGAGGAGAGGGGAAGAGGCCTTGGGGTGGTATGATATGAAAGTGTATGTGGGGTTCTGGGAGTTAGAGTGAGGATGGGGGTGGGAGATGAAGAGAGGAGGGGATGGGATGGGCTAAAACTAAGCTCTCATCTGTATCCACCCCTGCTAGGCTCTTGTCTATATCCACCCCTGCGAGGCTCTCGTCTATATCCACCCCTGCAAGGCTCAGGGGATGTTAAGGGGGAAAGAGTGGGAAGTATGTAGGGGCCAGAGGATGGGGAGGAGTGCTGGGAAACTATCGCTCTCATGGATGTACAGCACAAAACCTGCACAAGACCAAACTGGCCAGTAATTCCAGCATGAACTGGGGTGGGGCACAATACAAGCTGAGGACCCACAGCCACTGATGGCTGCAATACGTGTGTGTGTTCATGCATGCGTGTGTGTATGTGTGTGTGCAGTCATTTTTCTTTGCGGGTGTGTGTGGTTAGGTTGCACGTGCAGGCAGCACTAACTGGACCCTGGGTTATATTTAAAATGGGATGAAGGCTGCTGGTGAGATGGTTCTAACCCTGATGACCTGAGTTCAAGTCCAAGGCCCACATCATGGAAGAAAGGAACAGACTCTGAAAAATTGTCCTCAGACCATCACCTATGTGCTATGGCATATGTGCCCACTACATGCAAAATAAATAAATGAAACTGCAATAAAAAATTCATTAGCCAGGCGGTGGTGGTATTCCTGCACTTGGGAGAAAGAGGCACGTGAATCTCTGAGTTGCAAGTCAGCCTGGTCTACAGAGTGAGTTCTAGAACAGCTTGGGCTACACTGAGAAACCCTGTTTCAAAGCAAACAAACAAAAACTAGAAAAAAATTTTTAAAAAGGATATGAAAGGGTTTGGCATGGTGGTGCACACCTCTAATCCCAGCACTTGGGAGGCAGAGGCAGGCAGATCTCTTTGAGTTTAAAGCCTGTTTGGTCTACATAATAAGTTCCAGGACAGCCAGGGCTATGAAGAGAGACCACTGTCTCAAAACAAAACAAACAAAAAATGAAAAAAAAAAAGACATGAAGGGGACAGACATATATTAGGTGGGTCTTAGGGGAGTGGCAGGAGGGGGTTGATATTATCAAGATACATTGTATATATGCACAGAATTGTAAAACTGTCAAAGAATCAAATATTTTTTTTAAATTACAGGCTCTCAATTATGCAGAGTGTTTTGGTGAGACTGACAGATGTTTGTATGGGCGAGGCAGCCAATGGGTCCCAAGATATCCAAATGCCAGTCAGCACACAGAAACCTGTGTCTAGTCATACAGACCCCAAACCAAACAAGGAGGGGAAGCAATGTGGGTAGCTGCAGCCAAGACAGTAGCTCCCACATGTCAGATGTGGCAGGGAAGAGGGAAGGCTGTGGCTCACAGAGGTCGAGGATGCTCAGCCCTCAAGAAGGCAGCATCTGAACTCTTGTAGACTACGTGCCCATGGGGTGCTATTGAGGAGGGTGTTTGTATGTCAGAGCTGACATTTGTTCCAGGGTAATTGTCCATGTCATTGTTAGAAGAGTAAAGAAGTGTATTCCTGAATGGCTGTAATTATGCCGGCAGTAGCCCTCAGCAAGTGATGAACCCAAAGGCTTAGTTCACTTGGGAACTTCACTTCCCTTGTGTTGGCTACAGTTGCAGGCTTCCCTAGAAATCAACTTCCAGTACCTTTTCTGTCTGGAGAGGCGGTTGGCTCTCAGGGACACTCTTTTGAAAGAACAGGATCCCTAGGAAGAGACCACTACCTTGGTCAATTACCATTCTCAACTCAAGGCTTTGGAGAAGGCTGCAAACCATAACTGCCCATCACAGACAAAGGACATGGGTACCAGAGCCCCTCCCCAGTTAGTGATGCATAAGGAACCTGCTCTGGAGATGAAGACAGACACTCACCACTTAATGAAGTGGACCCTCTTGTTTCCTTGAAGAACAACAAACCCGAAAGGAGTGAAGGCCAGAAACGCAGCATTTCCAGACACGTCCTGTAATAGAGAAAAACTTCTCACTGGGGCACAGAGGTGCAGGTATAGAGGAGAAAGGGTGGAAACACGTTGTTCTAAGTCAAGGGTGGTGGCAAAAAACCTTTGATCTCAGCACTTGGAGGCGGAGGCAGGAAGATCAGAGGTTCAAGGTCATCTTCAGCGACAAAGTGAATTTAAGATCAGCCTAGACCCTTGTCTCAAAATCCACAGACACCCAGGCTATTCATAGGAAAAGCAGGGCAACTTTTACTAGGTCACAGTGGGATGCACAGGGCATTAAAGAGCACAAAGTCGTGGCTTGAATTCCAGCCTTGCTACTGGCCAGATGGGCCTCAGAGCTCTATATCTAGACGGTGGAGGTGATAATGACACCAGCCTCAGCAGGCCAAAGACAATGTGACGATCTTGCGCATTGCTGGTGGGACTTTAAAATGGTATGGTCACTTTGGGAAATAGTTGGAAAGTTTTCCCAGATGGTTAAATATAGAGTTACTACATAACCCAACAATTTCCCTTTTAGGTATATGCCCAAGAGAATTGGAACATGCCTATAGGTATGGTATAGGTATGCCTATAGGAATGGTAATGGTATAACTATTTATAGTAGCCAAACAATGTGAGCAATTCAATCCAGCTCGAAGAGTAAAATGTTCATCAACTGAGACAAAAAAGCAAGTGGTAGATGGCGGTACATTGAAATATTATTCAGGAGTAAAGAGGAAGGAGGTACTCACATATACAACATAAATGAACCTTCAAACACCATGTCAAGTGAAAGAAGCCAGTTGCAAAAGAAATCACGTTGAATGGTTCTATTTATACATAATGTTTACAACAGGTAGAGCCAGAGCCAGAGCCAGTGTATTTGTTGCCAAGGGCTGGAGGGAGAGGAAGTGAGGCAGTGACCGGTAGTGAATATGATGTTTCCTTTGGGCAGGGGAAGGGGGTCATAAAAATGTTCTAAAATTAGGTGGTGGTGGTGATCGTGAACATACTAAAAACCACCGAATTGCACACTTAAAGGGGTGAATTTTATGATACGCAAAGTGTGTGTGTGTGAGTGTGAACTATTACTAATCAGGCCTGTAATCCTAGCTACTCCCAAGGCTGAGGTTGGAAGATCCTATATTCAAGGTCTGCCTACCCTACAGAGTTAAGTTCAAGGCCAGTCTGGGCAACTTAGTTAAAAAAGCAGGTTGGGATCCAGTGGCAGAACACTTGCCTAGTGTGTGCCAAGCCCTAGGAATGCCAACAGAGGCAGGTTATCATTGTCTTGGTATCTGTAATACCCTGGGGTCAA